TCAGCTGGAATTTACTACCCATTTACTCAGATTGTACTCAGCATGTTTTATTGAGTAAAGTTATCTACTCACAAGTACATCCCACTGAATCACTCCCAGGTAAGTAGATTATTATTGATTCTATATCACTTTATAGGCTGCAATCCTATATCTATTTACCTGGGAGTAAATTCCATGGAACTTGAGTGGACTTACTTCTGAGGAAACATGCTTAAGATTGCTCGGTGTATCCCTTTCCCACACACTTCCCTCTCCATGCAATGGGTACATCTGGAACATTAGGGGGGAAACACTGCTAAATTTCCTAAAATGAAAAGCAGTAAACTGGAGCTTTAGAATCCAGCAACCACTCAGTATTCCAAGAGACAAAAAAGAGCACATTTCATAGCAGACATGTGATCCTTTCTAGGATCACTTTTTCCATTCAAAAGGATCAAAACATTTTCTCCTCCTACATTTGTAACTATGTCAAGGCATGAGTGAGGGTGTACATATTGTCAATGGTTTGAAAAAGGGAAGAATGTACATGTGCAGTAGTTATTTTGTCAGTTTTTCTTTCCAAAGGCGAGAGAGAGAGGGAGAGAGAGAGAAAAGACTAAAAATAAGTTTGCTGAAAAAACCATTGCCCTTTCAATGGTTGGTTGGAAGCAAAACGAAAACATGGAGGCAGTTGCAAGTTCTGGCTTAGTTTGATGGAGAACTCACTTGTTCGTCTATCAGCCCAGGGCATTCGCAAAGTTCTCCTCCAGCACCATGTTTCAAATGAATCCAGTTTTTCTGTCTGCTTTCTTCACTGGAGAAGGAACATCTTGGCCTCGGGCTCCATTGAAATGTCCTTATGCTTGATAGTTTTCCAGTTCATTGCTGCCCATACCTAGCTGTACTATATTTACGGCACCTTGGTATGGCCTTTAGATAGCATCCAGATGGCCACAGGATGCTCTGGAGCCCCAGCCCCAGTCCCGGAAACACACTCCAAGGCCAGAGATGGGGCGTCATCTTTGGAGTGTCCTTTGGCAGCCTTGTGGCTGGTGTGGAAAGAACCATGCCAGCCGCTTCTCCGAGGCTGCAGCTCAGACCTCAGGGGAAGGGCATTCCAGAAGGTGAGGAGGCACAGCCATGAAACAAGGCATCCTGGAAGTGTCTCACCCTCGTCCTCTCCTCTCCTCTCGCAAAGCACTGGACTTAGACAGCAGTGAAATCAGGAGAAACACTGACATGGCCTTCTCTTCTCCCACCCTACATGCAGTGCCCATGGGCCTCGGAGCTTAGAGTTACAGGGTGGCACTCTTTAGATTGCATTTGAAAAATGTATGACATACGCTTCCAATCTATTGCCACTCAAGACATCTTACTATGCGTATACGCAATACAGGCAAATGACTGTAAGGAAAGAAAAACAGATTCAGAAGATAAAAATATTTGTAAAGGACATCATTTAAGAGTCATAAGCCTGGCAGACCAAGGGACAGAGGCACAAAAACCAGTAAGGCAGGGAGCCAGACAAACCTCATGTAGTCATACATTCCATAGTCTGCGTCTGGAAACACAGAAGGAGATTTCACTTGCCTTGACCAATTGTGCCTTGCCCACAATAGGAACACGGAGGTGCTTGCTCCTGCGTGCTTTTAAAGACACTCTAGGCAGGTTCTGCATGAGGACCCCCTAGGGTGCCTTTTTGATGAAAGATCCCAAATCCCAGTCGTCAGAAAAAAAATCTTAAAACTATTTTTCTTAAACACACATTTGAAGTTGCACGATTGCCAGGGTTGATTATTGAGCATCTTTCTGCTGTTTTAGCATTCTAATTGTTGTTCTAACTGGTGTTTTTTCTTTTAGACTGGCATGCTTTAATTATGTTTGTGGACTATTTTGAGCCCACAAAGTAGCATATAGTATTTAAATGAATGCCATGGAGTCAGGGCTGCCTCCTTTTTCAGAGACTTCCTTAGCAAAGTGCCATTTGGTGAGCTTTCCTTATGGGGATATTGTGGGGGGGTCATCAGTTCTGTAATCTGCGCTAGGCAACTACCCATGTGGGGGATGCCATTGGAAGTCCCACAATGCCCCTGAATAAGGACAGCTGAGAACTGCATGTTGCAAGGGGGTTAAATAAGAATTTACCAAAATGCACCCCATCCCATTTTCTGCATGGAAAGAATTTGAGGTTTGTTTGTTTTTAACTGAATGTGGAAGAAGCCAAAACTGATAGATTTGTCCCTCTAAGCGCAGGGCTATGATTACTTTGCTCTTCTGAGTCTGAGTTTGAATCTCTGTGCATTCAAAGAAGTTAATGCTAGAGTTACCATTTCCTCTTTTTCATAAGTGTCCCATCTTAAACAATGTTGTGGTTGGCACACAGAAATTCTCCATGCTGGGAATAGCTATGCCTATTCCATTTTAGGTAGAGCATTTGATTTCGGTTTGGTTTTGATAAGAATCTACTTAAACTTACAAACTCCTCCGTATATGGGACAGAAAGTATTTGAGATTAAAAAAGAAGAAGCCAAAGCAGAACTGACAGATCACCCTTCTCTCTCTGGAAGGTGGCTTTCTCATAGGTACTGATGGAAATTAAATTGGCAGGCAGCTTATACTCTCAACTGCCTGGAGCAGTGTTCTGGCCCCCTGCCAGCTGCCTGCCTCTGCCATCTGCTGATGATGCCCCTGCATTGAGTTAAGGTAACTAGATGTAAAGAGCAGCATTCCTATTATAGCATTCATAATTGTGCTTAATGATTGTAAGCTGCCCCGAGGCTCATGCGATGGGGCGGCATATAAGTTGTCTAAATAAATAAATAAAATGTAGCACAGCGTGAGTAAATAGTACACCTGTAGAAGTTGCTTTGATGACTCAACTATTACAAATAATTTCTCCTCTGTCCCTCCTGCTCACTGATACTCAAGTAAGTAAACTGCCTGGTTTGAAACTATTTTTGGTCGTTTTGGAATTTCTGAGCAGAGAATGGATTTCTGGACTTCTTTTACTGTTATGCTATCCAACAGTGGTAAATTCCCTCCACATTTTTAAAAAAATATTATTTCTTTGAGGCTGCCAAGTCATTGGCTGTGCCAATTAGCTAAAGTGGCTCTACCTGTTGTAGAAATATACTATTGTTGTTGTTATTACACTAAATTCATATTCCACCATTTTTCCCCTTGAGAGGAATCCAAGGGATCTTCCCTAGCTCCATTTTATCAATGTTCAAAACATGGCAAATGCTGGGACTTGGGCATGGCACACACACTGTTTAGAGTTCAGATCTAATGACCTTGCCCTTTAGGGTCGAGGGCAGACTCAGCCCAAGACAGCTTGCTGCAGAAGCAAATAAAAGATCCAGATGGTGCTTTCCCTCCATGTCATATACAAAAAGCTCCTGGACTTCAACACTGGCAATGCATTTGTTCCTCTTCCACAGGGTAGCTTAGAAGCTGCAGAACAGATTGTATGATGCACCCAGCTGAGTTCTCCAAGAGGGAGGAACTCATGAAAAAGGGCTGGGTAGGTTCTCTGCCATCACTGTGTCTCCTACCTGAGACAGGTGCCTCACTCTGCCTAATGGTGTTTGTTTCTGATGGCACTCTGGAGCACCATTCTCCAGCTGGTGAAGAGCTGAGGCAGTTCAGCTGAAGCAGAAAACTAACAGATATAGCCCTCCCCCCAGTGCTGTATCACCATCCAAGGAGAAACTGCTTCAGTGGAATTCTTGAAATTTGCTCGATAAATTTGGATCGATAAAACCAAAACTATAGTGTGGACTAACAAGAAAATAATATACACACACAATGAAATTCACTGGATAACTTGGAGCCAGTCACTCCGTCTCAGCCTAACCTACATCACAGGGTAGGAGGAAAGGACCAGGTAAGCCACTTGGGGTTCCCTGCAGGAGGAAAACAAGGCAGAATATAAATGCAATGCAATTACGGTAACATAGGTTGTGAGCTAGGTTCTTCCTTCACACACACCTTTGCAAGAATTCTTTATTCAACAAAGTACATCCAACAAACTCAATCACCATGGAATGAATCTCTGAGCATGTATAGAGTGGTTTGTTGAACCCACTTCTACTTCTGGGAACCCCCCCTTTTTTTGAGTATGCCTGGGCCCCATCCCTTTGGGAGAGTACTTTCTGAAGCAAACACACCTCGTTTCTGTAAGCCATCACTCTAGCTAGCTAGCCTTCCTTTCCCAACCCCATGCCACAGCGTCCAGAGTCATACCAGCTTCATCTGGCTCTGAGAACGCCTCCCCCATGATAACATCCAACAGTTGGGCATCCTGGCTATTCCCAGAGGAAGAAAGTGGCTTTAAGGTATGTTTCTCCACATCTCCCATGTCCAATCTGAAGCCCCCAATTCCCAGGCCACCTGCACCCCCTCCTCTTCTTCCTCTGACGCAGAATCCGGATTGGCATTGTCCAGGAGTGCACACCAAGAAGAACTGCCCCTCTCATTTCCAGCTGTACGCAAATTAGGGGTTTTCGCCTCCTCTCCAGTCTTCCCTGCTGTTACTACCTGACGCTTTCCCCATTTGCGCATTGGCGGATGAGAGCATCCTTCCAAAAGGAAGCAAATGCCTGCTCCACAAACTTCGGAAAACAATTCCTTTAGGAAGTGAGGCCGGTGGAGCTGTAACGGCGTCAGGGTTTTTTTCCTAACCCATCCTGTGGGTTTCAAAGAAGTGCGGCATCCCCAACCTGACTGATCTTTCTCAAGATTTCGTGTAGCCTCTCAGAAAAGGGCAGCCACGGCGTGCGCAACCTCTCGGCTCCGCGCCGTTCTTGCTCGCTCTGCGCCACGCTTGCTCGCGGCAAACGAGCCGGCGGACGCTGCTGGAGCACCGCAGCGTTCCGCACGTGGACGGAGGAAAGCCGGCTCGAGCATCAGCGCCGCCCTGGCAGCCGCCGCCTGCCAGGGCCTCCGGGAGGGTGAAGCGCGACGAGAGGCAGGGAAACGGTCCCCGTCCCCCCCGCGCGCCCAAGCATTCGAGGCGCCCCGAGGGCGGGGCCTTCGCGGCTTAAAAACCGCCTGCGGAGACGGGAGCGCAAAAGGTGAGCGGCTGCGCCGGGCCTGGCTGTGGGCTCTGCCTCCCGGGATCCCGCCATGGGCTGGTTCTTCGCGGCAGTCCTCCTCGGCGTTCTGCTGCTGGGGCTGCTGCTGACACACCGGCTCCGCAGGTCACGGTGAGTAAGGCAGGCGTGGAAGGCGCGCGCGCTGCGCCCGCTGGGCGAAGAGAGGCTGGGCGCCACGCGCGGACAGACCTTGGCGCGAAGCGAGGGGCCGACGGAGCGGCCCCTTCTGGGCGCAAGCCCCCCGCCTCGTTGCGACGGAAGAAAGGTGCTGCTTCCTTGGGCATTTTTCTTTAGGTGGAGCGTGTAGGGAATGGTTGAATTTTATTTCTGGGCGCTGAGCATGGACAGGATTGCGCGCTCAAGCGAGTGCGCGTATGTTCGAGTGGGGTTGAGGGCGAGAGCGCGCACTCGTGCGTGTTTAGACAAAAGGAAACAACGAAAAAGCCCAGAAACTCTCAACGTTCCCCAGCTACTGAAAACTTATAGGAAAAGCAGGATACTTTTGTTTCCTGTCCAAACGCGCGCACGGGGCACGTTAAAGATCAATCGTTGAATTGTGGCGGACGTTTCCTTGCGACTAAAGCCCATAAAGCTACCCAAACGCTAAGGGGGCTGGACACCTGGCGCCCAAGGAGGACAGGTGGCAGGGTATTTAGTATGGGCGGGGTGGGGGTCTTCGTGAAAGGTCGTCATTTCGCGGGGTGCCACCTGGGAGAGGGCTCTTGCCTCTTCTGCTTGGGCACGGTGAGAAACAGGATGGTGGGCTGGATAGGAGTTTGGTTGGATCCACCAGAGCTTCCGGGATGCGTGCTAAGATAACATTCTGTGTGTGTGTGTGTGTGTGTGTGTGCGCGAGAGAGAGAGAGAGAGAGAGAGAGAGAGAGAGAGAGAGAGAGAGAGAGAGAGAGAGAGAGAGAGAGAGAGCGTGCCCAGACAAAGGTGAGGATTTGGAGCATACATGCACCAACAGAAGTTAATTTTTGGTGAATTGGATGAAGTGAAAGTTTATGCTGTAGGCTTATTCACCGCAGTCGTATATTTCTGAGGCTTAATATGTGTTCAGGATTGTCTGCAGCTGCTGTGGAATTTTCTCTGCTGGTGTGTGGTTTTGATCTGACTGATGCATTTCCAAGCTCATATATGCCATCCAGATGGCATTGGTCAACTGGATAAACTGTACTTTAGAATCACATTTTCTCCTGGTCCAAATTTAACATGTGTACACATGCACACAAACCATGCAAGGAAAGTGTAAAAACACCTTGCATGTCATGTTTGAAAATTATTATTATTCATTTAGAGCTCTCCTTTCTTCCTCTTGCAAGGATCCAAGGCAACTTACAAGGATCTCCTCTCTATTTTGTCTTTACAATAACCCTGTGGGGTAAGTTAGGCTGAGAATTCATAACTGGCCCAAAGTCACCCTGTGAGCTTTATGCCTAAATGGGGACTAGAACCAAAATCTGAATCTCAGACTTACACTCTTAACTATTATACCATTCCAACTTTTGAAAATGATCAAATGCCATGGCTGGAAGAGTTCTCAATGCCTGTTCAATCCTTGAAGGCAGGGATATCCTCCAATCAACAAACACTCCATAAAGGCTGACCCTCAGAAACCTGCACATAACACAAATTTAAAAGGTACTGGATAATAGCCACTAGTTTAAAATGAAATGGGGAAAGTATCCACCTTGATTACTGGCATGTAAGTGTTGGAACAAAGGTCAATGCACAAAATCTTAGTAAGATTCTTAGTAACAATCGCAAGTGTACATATCTTGGAAACAAAATAAATGTTATATTTCTTGAGGGACTTGGCTTTTCCAAGGCTGCTTCTTGATATACCAAATACACCAAAGACTGGACCTGGAATGGGTTCTTCCACTGATTTCCAATGTATTCTCACGTCTTCATACTTCTAAGAGCAATTCCACAGTGGCTAGGAGTATGTAGCAGATTAGATGATTTCCCTGATTTTCCCTTCTTAGAAGTCATTAAGGAAATTCTGGCATTTCAAGGAGGCCTCTTTGGTCATTCCACAAGCAACAGTGTACCTGAAGAGATTTAGCTAAAGACATGTGCTTTAAGTTATGTTATGATGTTACAGGTGTTTTGTAATGTAAAGTGCCATTTATTTATAGTGTTTGTTTAATGTATTTTTGAATTGCCTTTCCACTCAATGTATGTGCGAGGTGCTTTACAATAAAACATAAAGTACAAAAACTTTTGAAAAATCCTAAAACAAATGGATAAAATACACAAATGTGATAAAGCTGGAGAAACCCAGTAAATTAAAAGTGACATTCAACACAGAAATCTTGGGCAGTACAGAGTAATTTTTACCCTAAAGGCTGCTAATGAAGAAACCAACCTAATATTTTTATTCAGGGAGGTTAACTGCTGTGGAATAAATCAATAATAATCCTTTATTAAAACATATGTAAAATTTTTGATTTTATTTATTGTAACAGATTGAACACTGACACACCTCGGGAATTGTATTTTGTGTTGCTTTTTTAAAATCAAAAGTCATTTGTTCATCTGTTTTTCATATAAAAAAGCATGCTTCATGTACATAATTCTACATGTGCCTTCTCTGACAAGGCCTCAATGAATTTAAGGGGTCTTACAGTAAGAAAGTAGGTATAAGGCTCTGAAATTTCCCTGGAAGCAAGCTCTGTTGAACTAAAATGAGACTTGTTTCTGAGTAAATGTGTGCTTCAGATCAATGGTGATATTGGTTTAAACAGCAGTAATTTCAGCCATTAAAAAGCATATGATAATAACATTTTAAGAAGCGTTTCATTGCTAAAGAATCCATAGTCATGTAACTGTATGCAACTGCCTACATTTCAACGTTGAGTGAGCCGTAACTGACTGTGTTCTAGTGTCAAACAACAGGGTGTGCTCTGGTATTCCATCTTCCAAAAAGATGTTTGTGTTGGCAGAAGGTAATTTCTGCCATTGTGGCTGAAGTCCCAGCTAAGGAAACCCTGGAGCTAATGAGAATACAGGGCTAGCTTCAGAGAATGATAAAGTCGGGTATTGCTCAGCCCCTCAAAGGCACCTAATAAGGCCACAATCTGTTTTGCAGAAGGCACTTGAGAAGCTGAGAAATGGCATAAAAGAATGATCAGTAAACAAGCTGAGTCTTACAGATTGAGGAAAGAGGTTGCTGTGAGGAAGCTCTATAGAAAATGGTGGCATCTCAGGGCCAAACAACATGGGAAATCCATGCCACGAGTCCCATCATTATTATCTTAAGATCAACGGAGTCAGAGAGGGAATCACGCTGCCTCCCTGTTAGGTATCAAACCACATTCAGAGTTGTCACATTTTGTTGCTGACATTCAAAGCCCTAAACAACTCCAGATCAGGATACCCAGCAAGTTGTCTTCCCTGTATATACGCCCAATGGACCTCTGAGATGCTCCAGGGATTTTCCCATTGGTCATTCCTCCACCGACATTGTGCCATTGAGTAACAGGAAATTGTAACCCTATGAAAGAACCACTTGGGTGTGTTTGGAATTTGTTTTCTGGGAATTGCCAAGAAGTAGTAAAGGGTGATAGCCCCTGCTTTTCACCTGGATCACAGCTTGAAAAAAAATCTGAAGATAGACCTTTGTATAAATAAGAAATGGAGTGTAGGGTTTGCTTGTTTTTTAACTAAAACTGAGTTGTCCTATGGGGTACAGTCTACCGGCTTTAAAACACATAATCAGGGCTTCCCAGGAGAGGCACTTCTCCTTGGGAGCACTTTGTCTACAGGTGGCATAGAAATGAAATAAATTAAAGAAAGGAACAGACTCACCATGTGGTCCCAAACTGTGGTGAACTTCAGATGCTGCTTTCAGAAGCAGCTGCTTAATGTTTTTAACGTATTTATTGATTTATCTTGTTTTAAATTGAGTTTTATTTTGCATTTCATGTATTTCTTATGAAGGCTGCTTAGATGACAAGCATGATGTAGGTAGTTTAAATAAAGTCCTGGGAGAGTTGAGCCTAACTCTTCCCCACTCGTGATTTTCTAGCTCTGAATCGAACACAATCTCAAAGTTGCTCTAGGACTGTGGAAAGTGTAGGAGCAAAATAAATTAAAAATAAATAAATTTGAGAAAACACTTGTTTTTTAAAGGAATTACCATAAAAGGTAAGATATTTTTGGCACAGACACTGTGCCATTACGCACCACTCCAGATCTTAAGAACTGTGTGTTCTTGGATTAAACAGAAATGTCACTAACTAGAAAAAAATCAATAGCTAACCTTAGCTAATCGCACTGTAGTGCAATACTCCATGTTTACTCAGAATAGCAACTTCCTAAACTTTTTCCCTAGTAAGAGAGTTTAGGAGTGCAGCATTACATATAGGGTTCCTATACCACCAAAAAGGATGACATCAGTGTGCATATCCTAATTTATATGTATACATGCACTTTTAGAAATAATATGAATACAGTGCATCTCACCTAGAATGGAATTCTGTAACCAAGTATCCTGCATGAATGTTCAGTCCCGGGTCCGGGGCTACTTGTTGATAGGCCACTTGAGAGCCGCTGTTCTCTCTTATGGGCTTTCATTTTTAAACTGAAATGGACCCAAACAGTTCTCCAAAAGGAGTACTGTCCTTTCTTAAGCCTACTTTCTTAAGTCCTATTTAAATACAAAGTTGTCTAGAAGTGGGTTTTGTTATTGTAGTATTGCCATTTCCACTATTTTGTCTAAGTATTTTCTTCCTTTGATTAGTTCTAGGTTGCTTTGACTACATAAATGTAGAAAATGCCCTATAAATTATGGGACATCCATCAATCAAGTACATGTGCTACTAGCAATCTTGTGGGGATGGTGCAATTGCTTATGAATGAAAAATTGTACAACACATGCAGAGAAAGGAGCTCTGCACATGGGATACCAAAGGGGAAAAAACCATTAGCAGAAAACCTAATGTGAAGGGGAAATCCCGGAAGACTGACTGTGTCAGCCATAGTGAAATGCTGACTGACCAGCAGCAGGGGCAGAGAACAAGGAGGGGTGAGGAATGGAGAAGGGTGTGGCTAAGTGGCTAAGCATGAAGCGTTCGTATGCAGCATTCCACACTGGACCCTCTTGCTGCGGGACCCACTTGTAAGATGTTTCTTGGAAAACACTGGTGGTGCCATGGTTGGCTTCGGACAATGTGAAGCTTTCAGCACAGCTGCCTCAAGGCATTGTGCTAAATGGCCATCTGGGACAGCAAAACCTGCGAGGGGCACCATAGGCTCTCTTGCGAGGCATGCTGGATCCTGGGGTACAAGACCTGGATCCTGCAGGGCTGTGCCTACTGTACATGCTAGGCCGGCATCAACCGCTGTGTGGGCTCCTTGGACAGATGTCTAAGTGGGATCTCCACTCCATTGCATAGCAAAATATTCTCTGCCTTCAAGAACAACAAGGGTTGTGTAGCTGGCCTGTCCCTGCTCATGAGCAAAGTACTTAACACACTGTTGATAAACACACTTTACTTTGAAGTAAATATCTTCATGGGATGATTTTTTATGGGACTGGCTGTGGAACTGATGATGTTGAGGGGGTGGGCCCTGTCCCTGATGCCATGGGTCACAGCCCACCCACTGACATCCTCTCCCCGAGAGGTTCTGGGGAGCAATCCAATCCCCCCATCTCTTCCCTGGACTAAGGCTTTATAGCAGAGAAACAGGCCTCCAGCTAACTTATGATGGTCCGTGTGGCAATTGAAACGTTTGCTGTTTTTGCAGTCCAAGCCTGAAGGGGAAAAGAGCCCTCAGGTTTGTTCTTGAGGCATGTGGCTTGTGGACTGTTTGGCTTGTGTAAGTCTGGATTAATATACCTCACCTCTTAGCAATATGATACAATTGCTATAAATCAATGGAATGATAAATTGAGAAATAATTTCTCTCCACCTCTTGTTTTCCTTTTAGCTTCTATATCCTGCTTATTTTTTTTCACCCTTTGATAGAAAGCAGAAGCTGAGATTTTAATTATGTAGCTGCCCAACACTGCAAGAATGGAGACTTAAAGTTCAATGATTAGTATCATTTCTTCTGGATAGTTTGGAACTTGAGTTTTTTGGGCTCTAACTTTATAATACTCACTACTAGTGTGCATTGCTATCAATAATGAAAAATCTTACAGAGCTACAAATTGAGGGAGGGATCTTCACGAAAGCTATTTTCCCCCAATAGTCTATTCACATTGATATCTTATCAATTCTGTCAATGGCATTTGCTACTAAGAGGATCAAATTAATTTCTTGAATTGGCTTGCAGAATAGAAACCAAGGATTGGGAGGTACAGCCAGTGGCTGGTGACGCATGTGGGTGGCCATTTTGAGTGTTCAGGCACCATTTGGGGGTTACCATGGTTTGGCATGTCATCCAAACCTAGGTGGCAGAGGTAATTTGAGTTTAAACAACTCTCAAATAATCCATCACCTGCTCTATGGTTATTTCGGGACTTTTTGATAGGGAACTGCTCTGGAAGTGTCCTTGTCATCCTGTAACTTCCAGACATTTATACGAGCCTCTCTCAAGCCCTCTTAGACAAGTCCTCTGTGTCAAGCAAATGTGTGGCAGGTGGATCTGGGATTCGTTTCCTGCCATGACCAAGACAAATACACACCATGGTGGCCCCGTCTACCTGATGCTTATACACTGAACATTGCTTTTGTCAAGAGTGGCTGCTTCCACGTAGGCAATTTGTGTGGTCAAAGGAGCAGGTTACAGTTGTGATTATATAATGGGCCAGCCAGTCCATTAGGTTTGGCTTAGGAGAACGCTTAGGAGAAGGTCTCCTAAGCCTTTCAGAAACAAGGGCCACCAGATGTTGCTAGATGGCAACTCCCATCATTCCTGAACATTGGCTGTGCTGGCTGGGGATGATGAGGATCGTAGTCCAGCAGCATCTGGACATTCAAGGCTGGAAAACCTGTGCTAGAAACACAAGGCAGAAGATGCTTCTGAACTTGACCCCCTTGGGAACGTTGTACCAAAGTTATACCAAAAATGGATGGGTGAAAAGCCAGGACATGCCAGAAATGTACTTGGCTTAGCACAAGGGGGAAGTAATATCCAATTTGTCTAAAAAGGACAAGCACAGAGCTCAAAAGCTGGCCAGCTCTGCTTTCAGATCTCACTGAAATAATAAATACATTTGCTACAATATTTTTAATTGTTTGGTTTTGAAACTGCAGTAAGGCTTTGAGACAAGATGTCACTCTGCCTGTCCATTTTTGGAACGCTGTTTACATAAGCCAAGCAGCTGGTCAGTAACAATATCCTGTGTGGGCTGCTATATTTTGGGGAACTGAAAAGCGGATTTCCATTCCTGTTAAGCTCCATGTATTCAACAAATCGTCACAGCTCCAGATGTAGGAAATTCAGATTTGCTTGGGATAGCTACATGGCCACCTTGCACGTTTAAAAAATAATGGCTATATTAATTAGGTGAATTAATGATGTACTTTTTGTGGACTGCTCTGTACAGAGCATGAAATACGTTTCACACCAGTATTTGGTTCATTGTGTGATGATACTGTCACAGTAGAAGTTCAGGCTGGTGCCCAATGCAGAATTGGGCCTGGAGGGCCCATGTCCTCAGCTGAATGGGCAAGTGATGTTCTCATGAGGCCTTTAGGTTTTCCCTATGTCTAATCACATATGACTTTCAGATGTGCATGACTCCAACTCCTTGTGGTCCAATGCACCTGGAGAGTAATACGTTGGGGAAGCTGGAGTATAGTCAATTGTGAGGTGGTGGTTTTGTATCATGTTGTTCGCTGTGTTTGTATCATAAATTTCATTGCTGTGGAAGTAGGACAAAAACTTTTTAATGAAAGAATTATTATTAAACAATATAGTTAAAGGTTTATAGATATTGATGTTGTTTCCAGGCGACCAGATGAACCTCCGCTGGATAAAGGTCTCATTCCTTGGCTTGGCCATGCTCTGGAATTTGGCCAGGATGCTGCCTCCTTCCTGTCTGACATGCAAAAGAAACATGGTGATATTTTCACAGTAAGTGTCTACAGTTAACTTCTAAGACTAAACTTGTGCTGGATTCACCTTTGTTTTACACATACTTTCAGCTCTTTTTGTGGACTCATCCTATGTCTCTTTTGGAATTTTATAGGGGTGCGGAAGTCTTCATCATTTTCCATTTGTAAGCCTCCTGGAATTTTCCTAGCTTATTTATTTAAAAATATTTGTAGACTGCCTTTGTGTGTAACATTCTTTTAAGGCAACACACACAAACCTGTACAAAACAGGTGTAATAAAAATCAGGATGTTCAATAAAAGCAGAGCTTAGTAATTTTAAAAAGTCAGTAAAATCAGAAGTTACCTAGATCCACCAGCCAAGAGACTTATAGAATGGCCAGTAGAAGCAGGTGGCTCTTCAGAGCCTGAGAAGAGGCCTGGTGAATCTCTAATAGAAACTAATTCCGCATTTGTGGGGTGGGGGCCCTGGGAAGGCCCCCTCCCTTGTCACGCACCAGCCTAGCCACCCCTTGTGCTAGGCAAGTGAGAAAGGCCTCTGCAGAAATGCACAGAGTGTGGGTTTGGGAAAAGGTGGACTTTCAATTTATTTATGCAGTTGTAATTTTGCCAGATTGCCTTGCAGCAAAAATTTTCACTAGGCAGTATACCAAAATAATAAAAAAGTATAAACATAAAAAGGTTAAATATTTTAAACATAAAAGCAGAAAGAAAACTATTTAGGTTATTCCAAAGGTTCTTCTGGAATAATAAAAAAAGAGATCAGAGATGAAAATGCAAAGACTTCTCAGAGGAGCATTTCTGTAACTTTGGCCATACTTTTCCTAATATCTAGCTAGAATCTGGCTTCCTGCCACTCAAGCCTTTTATTCCATGCCCTGTGCTCCTGAGATGATTGAAAAATAGAGATAATTGAAACTTTAGTGGTTATTGTCTTTTACAATTATGGGATAGAGTATGTGAGATTGGTTTTGTATGTGCATGTTTGTGTATGTTAGTATTTAAGAATCTTAGCTGCCTGGATCCTTCAACAGTGGTATTTACATTTTTGAAAAATCTAGATAGGCATTGCAAATAAACAGAAGGAAGTGGAACCCTGTGGAATTAGCTGATTCTTTGAACCAACCAAACAATGAATTCTTTTCTGTCTAATCTTGATCCAAGCGTGAACCTACTGAGAGGGTATAAAGCACGGTAATGATTGATTTTCATACACAAAAGCCTGATGGTTGGAGGAAAAGGCACAGGGCCAAGGAAAGGGGTGTGGTTGTCTGGGGAACCCTAGGGCAGACTAGAAGCACAAGTGGGCTGGGTTCAGGGCCTGGACCGGAAGCTCTGCACTCCTGAATTACAGCAGTGCGTAGTGCCTGAGACAATGGCCAGTTGCTTTCACTGGAGTTAAAACAAATGGTGAAGTTGGTGAGTAGATGCTCTGCTACTCTTTCCACATGGTTTAGCAACTCAGGCTTGTTAAATCTGGATTGCAGCCTCTCTTTCACTGCTGTGGTCCCTGTTCTTCTTGGTGCAGCCCCCATATTGGGGTATGTGCCCTCCAGGGAAAAATCACTGACCCTGTTATTACACACTCTCCCCAGTTCCCCAAGTAGTGACACATTCAAGGGGCAGCAAGCTGCTAGGGTGGCCATGCATCCTCCTTTACAGAGGACTGTGTATGCTGCACGACGCCCTGAATGCACATGAATTTTCTACCATACAAGTGCATGAGAGTTAAGATGCATCAGGTATTTAAAGAATTGCTAGGGTGGGTGGCAGGCTGAAATTTGAACCGTGCAACTTGAGTGCATCCCTATGCACACTCACAAAAATGTTAAAGCAGTCTGCCAAAACCCCACCAACTGTGAAAAAATGTATTTTCTCTAACAAATATGTTTCTAATGTGAATAACAATAATGTGACACACTTGTTTCAATACTCTTTTTTGTACCTCTTGGATAGCTTGTTGTTTGTGTCTGATATTTGTATGCCGCTCAAATATAATGAAAACCCAAAGTGGTATATATAAACATGTAAATCACATTTACAATACAATATTCCAAACAGGTTCAGTTTCGAAAACACAGAGCAATGCATGAGTGGGGAATCAGCATGATTGATTTAGCCACAAGCCAGGGAAAGCCGGGGTGAGCAAGGGCATTTTCTGGAGACTTTTGAAGTTTGCTATACTTTCTGCCTCCCAAGCTGCGCAGGGTAGGATTTCTGAAGGGTGGGGCTGCCCGCCCCTGGGGCACCACGTGGCGATTTTCCATTAATTTTGGAATGAGCAGCAAGGCCTCCTCTGAGGACCTTAAATATCAGTGGTGGAAGTAGCCTTTTAAGTATCCTGGTGCCAAATTGTCTAGAGCTTTGCATGGCCTAGCGTGCTTTAAGAACGTGATGATTTCGTCACGTCGGCTCTCCATTTCCTACTCGATGTTCAGTGAATGGTTGATGTAACGCATCAGTGCCGCCTGCAAGAAGCAGCTGGCATATAGACTCAGGGTGCCCCTAGAGCCCTCTTCTGTCGCTGGAGGCTCAAGTGACCGGACCAGCCTGGACCATCCGTTTCCAACTTCAGCTGGCACACCAACTGGATCTGTTGCTGGATAGGGGTAGCACAGTTAAGCACTGGCAACCTCATGATTAGACTCCCTTCATAGACTCCAGGTGGGCTGCCTCTGCACCTGGTTCAGAAGTTACACAATGTGGCAGACAGGATATTTAGTGGGCAGCAAGATAGAAACATATTGCACTAAACATACAGTGGCTGCCTATTAGCTAACGAGGAATATACAGGACTGTGTTGATGGTACCCAAAGCCCTGAACATCTCATGGCAAGGATCCCCCGCTGATTGACGCCTCTTATATGAGTGCCGTCAATCCCAGTCATTAGGGAGGTCTTATTGATTGTTCCATGACCATTAAGAGTACACAAGCAGGACTTTTTGGTAGTGGCACCCATTGCCTAAAACAACATCCTACATATTGTTTAAGGTTGTATCTAACTTCAAATGCCTCTTGGAGATGTATTTGTTTTCACAGGCTTTTCCTGACGTTTACTGGAATATGACACCATTCCATTTAATTACTGTCTTCTTGTAATGTTTTTAAGGATTTATTTTTATACTTTCACTGTTTTTATATTTTACTGTAGTAGTGATCTGTCTGTCTATACATTATAAACCATTTTTAGATATTAGAATATGAGCAGAGCAATCATATAGCCTTCCTATACAGTGTCTAAACGGCCATAAGAATTTTTGGATTCCCAATTCTGAGGTTGGAAAGAGGTCTGGTTTCAGATCTGGGAATCCACACCCACCCTCTGCAGCCAGCAGGGGAAGAATCACACTGGCTGCTTCTCTGAGGTCATAACAACTGCAGATAAGAGCTTTGGAGGCATTCCAGAGAGTGGAGACAAGCATCTCCAAGCTATTCCTACCCTGGTGGTAGATGGGTGGAACTGTCCCACTCTGCAGGGACTGCCCATAATTCCTTGAGTTCAGAGGGTTATGGACATTGCCATTGGATTGCATCCTTACTGGTATAAAAGTAGTGCACACACAAAGCGGTTCCCGATATTGTATCCAAAGATGCCACTTTACTTGCAAAGCCAGATTGAGCTGCCCCCTAACCTGTTTTATCTCTCTGGAAGTGAATGGAGTTCATGTCTATGGGGGGATCAATTCTGTTTGCCAAGAAACAGAATGTCCTCCACCAAGATTCTTGGCAGAGGCCAGACTTTGCCTCCATCCCTATGATTTTTGGCAGGGGTGTCAGGTCCAAGAAATGGGTAGCAGGTGTCTGGCTCTGGAACACCAGGACAGAGATGTTGGAGGTCTTAGCAGAATGCAGAAGGCCAGAGGCAGAGGCAGGCAAAAGTGAGGGTCACGTGCCAGCAAGGCATAGCAGGACCAGTAGGAAAGAATGATCCGATTCAGGTCAGAGACCTGGCAAGGCAGAACAGGTTCAGAGGCAAAGCTGAAGCAGGACAAGCAAGGCCAGATACCAACAAGGCATGGCAGGTCCAGGAACAAGGGCAGAGTCAGGAACAGGCAAGGGCCAGTTACTGACAAGGCACGGCCAAAGCAGTGGCAAAGACAAGGTTAGGAGCAGGCAAGGATCAGATACCCAGCAAGGCATAACGGGACCAGAGATGAAAGCAAGGCTCAGTCGCCTGGCAAAGCAGGTCAGACCAGAGGCAAGGGAAGAGCTAGGAATAGGCAGGACTCAAGGCACAGTCAAAGGCGATAGAAGCATGATCAGGAACCCAGTGCAGCCACCATGCAAGCCTGGCTTGCTGGGACGAAGCCAAGCAGCCTAGGAAAGCCTATTAGAGAGCCTTCCAGTGCTCCCAGCTGCTTCAACTGATTGCACAGGCTCCAATCCTGCACCAGCAAGCCTGATCCTGCTGGTCTTCACCATCGGGGCACCAGGACAAATTGTGAGAAGGCTTCAGATCCTAACAGGACGGGTTTTTCTCATTCCATGCTAATGGATGGAGAAATGGCTTTTTTTGGTACATGGCAGTGGGAAGAGAGGGAGAAAGGGGAGCCAGAGTGAGAAAGAAGAGGAGGAGCCAAAGATAATGAGGAAGGGATGGAAGCCCGAGCAATAGGAAAGAAGGAAGGAGAGAAAGAGATCAAGACAGACAGAGAGAAAGAGAATAGGAACAGGGAGTTAGAAGGAAAGAGAGGCAGAGGTATATGTTCATTTACACATGTGCATGCAAGGGGACACTCCTAACATTTTTGTGATTGGCTTCCTGGCTCCCTGCAACAGTCAATTTTGGGTGCCTCCCAGGACAATACTTTGAAGTGCCAAATGGACCCAGAAAGGCCAGAGAGTCTTGCGTATGCATATATGGTGCATAATCATGTTTACTTTGTGGTAAAAATTGAGAAGGCTACCAGTTACGCACAGGAACAGAAGCAGTTGCACAGTAGCATATCTCTTTCTAGAGCTGGTTTTTGCAAACACATTGGTTACTTTTCTTTGATATTCAAGATTTCTATATTTGTGATTGGCTTGCTTTGTTTTTATGTAAGATTCAAGCTGCAGGGAAATTTGTCACTGTCTTACTGGATCCACGTTCCTATGATGCGGTGCTTTGGGAATCCTCCTCCAAATTGGACTTTGGCCAATATGCACGGATTTTAATGGACCGAATGTTTGATGTCCAGCTCCCAGATTATGACCCCAAGAAGGAGAAAGCCATGCTGAAAACGTAAGTTCAATGTATAGACGGAAAGGTCTTGCAATGAGAAAGCTGCACAAATGTGCCATGGATGATGTATGATCGGACCTCAGTTTAGGGATGCCACAGTGTGTATCCATGTTTACATGTAAGGATTAAGACTAGAAGAAGGAAGGTGAACTTAAATGCTCATCTGCAATGCTAAATGCCATGCGGTTTGTATGTATGTATATTGCTTAGACTTTGTTTACTCATATGGCAAAATGGGGAGACAGAATCTGGAAGTGAAACAGTAGAGCTGTATTCTGGCAAAGTGAATTAATTCCTCACTGTCCCCTTAAGTAAAGCCCAGGATCCAGACTCCCCACCAATGTGCACTTGACCTAAGAGAGAGTCAGCTGATCATACTCAGTCCCTGGACAGTAAAGGGAGAAGGCACACAAGCCACCTTGCCACAGTTTCCCCCAGTGTGCTGAGATGTATTTTGTACTTCTTTTTAATTAAGTTAAATGATTTCTAAGTGTGCATCAAGGCACATACATTCGCACATGCAACTTCTATGCAAAGGGTGTCCTCTCCTGTCTGTCTGTCTGTCTGTCTGTCTGTCTGTCTGTCTGTCTTGCCCTATGAGCAGTGGATTAACATTCAGTGGTCATTTTAAATTGCAGAAATATAGTTCTTTTTTCAGTTTTTGATCCACCAGAAGCTTTTTTGCAGTTATAAAAAGATTGCAAAAATAAATCCTTCTGGGATTTCATATGCAGCAGGTAGTCTAAGATTCATATAAAGCAGTGTAGACTGGAGGTGGAGTGGGGAGGGGGCGGCAGTGCAGTACCACATATCCTGCACTTTCAGAAAGATGCCAAGGTCTGGGTCAGTGCCAAACAATATTGCGGCAAGTTCTGTGTGGTTCTAATTCTATTACACAGCCTTTAAAGCTCCTTATAACAAGGAATTAATAAGCAGCTCAGCATGGTGACTATTGATTTTTTAAAGGGGCCTTTCTATAGAATCTCTCTTTTTTTATTTAAAGGGGGGGGTGTTTTTTATTCTCTCATAGTTGTAAAATCTCTGATGTAGCCACAAGCTACTTTCAGCTCTTAAAAATGGAGTGGGGGTGGGAAAGCAATTTCAGAACATAAATAGCCAAACCTCTGAGTTTACCCTGGCAGACGAAAGGGAAACAAAAGCACAGTAGAGCAATGTACTCTTCAGATGGGCTGGAGGTGTATGACTGGAAGCACTGATTATTAGGATTACAGTTCAAACATTACCACGGGATAGGAAAAGATGATACTTGCACAACTTGCAACAAGACCCCAATAAGCTGGTACCGTAGTGTTCCCTGCGGTACTGCCAGAAATCCTGGGACTTACCTCTTGGATTCCACAGAGGGCAGCTACTGGGAGCAGTAAAATGTGTTTGGGCAACTCCAAGAGGATGCTTTTGTTGACAGAAGTCTGATAAACACTGATGTAAGCGCCTCTTCAGGACCAAAGGAAAAATTCACCCACTCACGCACAGCAAACCTAAGTGTAATGGGATGACTTACTTTAGTGTAAGTGCATATAGCCCTGATCTGCACTGGGACCATGGTGCTGTGGAGGATTTAAGCTCTTCCACCTCACGTTTTCATCCTAAAATTGTCCTCTGCACAAGAGTGATTACTTTTCTTTATTTAACCTCCACCGCAGAAAGTTACACTTTGGAATGAAAATGGGAGGGAGAAACCTTAAATCCCCCCCTCCAGAGCGCCACAGCCCCAATCCAAATCCGAGCCATGCGCGTGTGCATTAAATCATCCAGCCATGCTTTGTTTCCCCCCATTTACATCTCACCCTTCCAGTTGGAACCTTTCCTGGTGTGGCCAGCTCAACGCCAGTCTGCTCATGAAGAGAATAAAGGAATACGTGTCCAGGGTGTCCAGGTGTTCAGAGTGCTACACATACATCCTCAAGTTGTGGTTCTTTTGACAACTTTGTAGGGCAGGTTTCCCAAACAGAAGATGGAGAGAGAGAGGAGCTTATCGAAGGCCCCAAGTGCCGGGGTAGGACATGTGGAGCCCCCACCAAGGTGTCCCACCCTCCCCTTTCAACCCATTTTTTCCCCTGAGAGCTGGGAAGTAGGTTTCTGTGAGTGCTGAACATTGTGAGTTGAAAGGAGTTTAGTGCGTTGGGGCTCAGATCTCACTTTTGCCTTTGGGCACGCTCTTTGCCACGGCTCCTGTGGCATCCATTTTGTAGTGGTGCTCAGGACAGTCCCCCAAATCCCCAAATTTCCAAGAAGGTTGCCTCCTCCTGTCCTAGAGGTGTGGGGAAGTCTCTCTGATTCACTTTCCTATTCCCATTCCCATTCCTACTGCCAGCAACAATAGCTGATGATTCCCAAGGGGGCAGACACTTTGCCTAGCAGTTCTGTTTCAGCTGGTCACTTCCAGTATTAATGGTCAATAGTACTCTTTTTGCCACAGCCTGGCTGGAAGGATCTCACAATCTTGGCACGATTGCTGCCTTAGCCAGGTGAGCCTGAAGACCAAATGGAATTGGTGTCAGCTAAGATAAACAACTGGAACTTCCTCTCATGGGAGGGGACTCCTAGGCCAGCACATTGTGAAACCTCAGCTTCAGTTGCCTGCCAGCTGGATGTGCCAAGAAAAACAGAACTTTGCTGGGCCCTTGGGGCATGATTGGATTAGCTCTCAAAGCAGCCATTAAGGAAACTTTGGTTCATGAAGCCAGTCTTAGGCTTGGAGTGAAGGAGGAAAATTTCAAGTGCCTCACTCAGAGAGGCAAGAATGCAGCTGCTCAAATGGATCAAGATTCTTAGGGCAGAGGTCTCTTGACACCTTGGGACCCATGGACACATTTCAGAATTGGAAGAAGGGCTGTGGGCACCGCCACAGATGCCTCCCATGGAGGATGTGGCCAGTCATGCAAGCACTGCTGATGGGTGTGGGGGAGGGCTAGCTAGTCAAGATGTAGTGGAGGGGAAACAAAAAAGCAAGGCTTAAAGCTGGGAGCAGTGGGAAGGATGGAAAGAATTGCTCCTGGCTTTGCTCAGCCCTCTTCTGTCCATACAAACCATTCCCCTTTCTGCTCTATCCCGCCTCCTCTCTCCATTCCCAGCCTTTGCCTTTACTCCTTTTCTCTCTTTCTATCCCTAGCCTTGTTCTTTCTCTCTCATCCCCTGCTTTATCTTGCTGTTTCTCTCCACTGCTAGCCTTGCTGTTTCTCTCTCCTTTGCCTTGCTTTCTCTTTCTGCCCACTAAACAGCTAATCAGTGGTAGGTTCAGAAACAGGAAGGAGAGTCTGGCTCCCTAAAGTGTTTCAGGTGTGTGTGTGAAAAGGACATGAGTGAATACTTTTGCAGGTGCTCAGCTGGGGATCTCTGCCATGAAGTAATACTGTCCACAGAAATGGTGTGCATGGCATGTGAATGTGAAGGTACTGCACACTTTCTGGGGTTGGACAAAAACCACAATAATCATTCATTGAACTGTGGATGGTTGTTGAAATGTGGGTTATCATGTTGTCTGAAGCCCACTTGGTAACAAACCATAGTTGGTTAACCATGAACAACTCGCACTTCACAGCCCAGCAACAAACCATAGGTCTTCAGAGCTTTTTCATGGTGAGGGTGAGTCACTTCTGAACCAGATGTTTTGTTATGCCACACATTTGTCTTGGTTCCTTAGCCCTCGGGGCTGAGCAGGGTTCGCACCCCTTTGGCCTGGCCACTGCTAACGTCTGCCCTCAGACCCCTCACAGAGATTTTGCTCCCGATCTAGCCAACTTTTCCTTTTCCTGCAGTGCTGCTGACATAGTGTTGTTCTGGGAAGTTGTGGGGGATTGGAAGGGTGGCTGACCAGTGCTCCCAGCACTGTGTGGAGTGTTGTCATCCTAGCCAGGGTGACCTGCCAGGGCCCACGGACGTCTTACCTCAAAGCTGGAGTCAGCTCTTGTCTTTGGCTGAAGCAGCTGCTACATACATCCTTTCTGTATGCTGGTTCCCCTGCCCTTTTCTCTCTTCCTGCCAAAATCTGGTCTGTAGGCAGGAAGCTAGCATCTGTTCCTGGGTCAGATGCTATAGAAATTGGGGATGAGGCCCTGGGGCCAGTCTGAGATTCTGCTCCCATCTCTGGGGCTTCCCTGACAGCTGCCCTCTTCCTCTGCTTCCACCTCCTTTTCTCATTTGCTGGTATCTGGGCATGTGTGCCTTTCCCCTCCCCACCCCACTCTAAAGATTGAAATCCGTCTCCTATGGCTTTATTGTGGGCAGGAAATGCTTTAAGCTACACCATTGGCGGTCTCCCCACTTTTGTTTTTGTAGCTTTGGCCCAACCCCTTTGCCTTTGGTCCTGCGCCTGCAAGAGCATCCCCAAAATAGAATTTGGGCTGAAAATGGCTCCACACCCCTGGTATGAATATACAATAGGCAGCACCCCAGAGAACTCGTATCTCGTAGCTTTATGCTTCCTGCCCCCGCACATTAGATCTGTCCAAATGCCAGGTTCTTGATTAGAGATGATACAGCTCAAACAAAACTTTCGTGGTTCTCTCCTACCAGTATTATAAAACAGGATACCTTGGCTGGGAGGGTCCAGATTCCACCCACTATCAAATAAATATATTCACACCAAAACACCAGAAGCAAAAGGTCACTGGCAATTGACTTGTGGATGGAGAACATGAAATTACATTATGATTACATTACGGTCATACCCTGCCTTTCTTCCTCGTGCAAGGAAGGCAGCTTAGAAGGTTCTCCTCCTTTATTTTATCTTCACAACAACAACCCTGTCAGGCATTTTAGACTGGGAGTGTGTGACCATCCTGAAGTCAGCCAGTGGGCTTCATGGCTGAGTAGAGACTAGAACTGGTATCTTCCAGCACCCAGTCTAGCCAGTGTGCTCCAGAAAGGTAGAAGGACCTGTACCATAAAGGACTATAGACATTGCTCCCATGGGGTTACTGGGGTGTGAACTCGCAGTAACATTGTTCTCGTAGCATGGTGCCATGCAAATTATATCCGTGCTGTATCAGTGCAGTGATCGCTCCAGTCCAGGTAGCATAGGTGAGTCCTCTTAAGTAGTATGCAAACCACTGGGGTTGAGCATGCTTGGAACTATTAGGTCCATATGTGGCTTTGTTCCTCTCCCAAACAGGTGCCCTCCAGATGTTTAGGACTTCAAGTCCCATCAGCCCCAAACAATGGTTAGGGGTTGTCATTCAAAACATCTGGAGAACATCAAGTTGGGGGAGAATGCTCTAACATTAATGCAGTAGTTTTAAACTGTCTGATCTCTCACATTATCAAGGATGGAACCCTGTGAATTCTAGAGGACTCCAGGAAGTACTGCGAATGGTTTGCCCCTTTCCTGTAGGGCACAGGCAGGGCTGTTACCAGTTCGCCATGAACTACAGCTGGAACCCAAAGCACAAAGTCGTCTCCATAGGTTGCAGTAGAAGGCTAGTCATGATGGATAAGCATCTTTTGGGCAAATGATTCTCTGATCTGTCTTGGTCACTTTTCCACTAGACCTTTTCCTCTGGAGTTGCTATAGTTTTTGCTGTCACAGTTTGCAAAGAATCCAAATGACATTGTTGTTAAATTGTTCTCCTGTCTTCCCCGCACCCTGATCTATATCTGTTTGAGCAGCAAGGGGTGCTGTAAAGATAATTGGGACACGAAGCACTTCCAGCCATTATACCTTTAAGAGTTTTTTGTTTGAAGATTCTTTTTGTTTTATTGACTAGCTCTCTGTGTTGGGGGTGCTGGGTTGGGTGCTCCTATGCCACTGGGGCCATGCCCAGGACTTTTAACAGGTTTAAACCAGCTATCCATGGTCCTGAACCCTGTCCCCAGAATAAGTTTGGCATTGTGGAGAGCTTAAAAGTTCAGCATACACAGATTGAGAGAGATAGGCTGGGGCATTGATGAAAAACCTTTCTATCACTCAACTCATAACCTTGAATAGCAGCTTGTAGGCCCTAATCCTGACACTTTCCCAGGGATTCATATATTCCGATTCTGGGTGTGTAAGCAGAAACAGGAAGGGATTTCCTAATACTACTTTTGTCTCCACAGGACTCTGCAGAACAAAAATCTCACCACACTCACACAGGCAGTGTCCTTCAACCTAAGAACCATTCTGCTAGACTCAAGTAAAGTCCATGGGCAATGGGAAGAGGAGGGCCTGTTTCACCTCTCCTACAGTACAATGCTCAGGTTGGTCTGAAACTCCTAAATTCTTCCCTTTGAAGTGGCCAGGAACAACAGTGTTGGCTTGGGGCTGGCAACAGCATCGAAACTGTTGACACTTACTGAAGCCCCCAGCAGAAGCAAGTCCATGGACCTGGCCAGGAGAGGCAGGTGCTTCGGATGTCATTAAGGTTCCTGATCCATTGCAGCTTTATTTTGAGCTTGACAGGGGGCCAGAGCATGAATTAAATGCTTTGGGCTGGGTAGGAGCAGGAAGGAAGAGAAGAACTGCATGAATGTTGTAGTGAAGTGACTTGTTGGCAGGAGAAATAGGGGAAGAGGAAAGGGATGAATCAGAGATAAGCCATGTAGAATGGATGATGATGCTGTCAGTCACTGAGGAGGGTGACCACACAAGAAAGGCTGAAGAAAAAGAAGCAGCTCATTCTTGGATATATCAAGTTTGGGACAACCGAGAAGAGATATTGGAGTGACAGCTGAATAGTGCTGCCTTTGCGAAGCTGGCATCCTCCTGACATGCTGGACTTAAGAGTTATAGAGATTTTGTTAAGCCCAGTCTGTCTGCGTTTCATGGACTGTTTATTGTCTTTCATTTCATCATCCGTTTATTGGTGGACTTAGGTTTTTTAACCCAGAATTTTGTTCTGTGTCTTCTAATTTGCATTAGTTCCAATGCACAATTGTGCTAACAGGCAAATGTACTTTTTCATAAATGTGCTAATCCATGTAGCAGGATGCCTTTCCCAAGTCACATGCATTCTGCAGATTTGTGGACCAGTTTTTCACTGTTAGGTAGGGACTTTATAGATCAACATGTTTGTCCAAATATGCATTAACACTAATGCAAAGTAGTGCAAATCCCACACAAAAGTGGAAACAGGTCCATGGGTCTGCAGAATCCACAAAGCTTCAAAAGGCCAGTCCACTGCAGAATCCACAGGCCAGATTGGTAGAAAACTGAACTAATGTGGATTGGTTGTGGTTTTTTGGCAGCATCCTTACTTAGACTACATCTCCCATCACTTCCAGCTGATAGAGTGGATGGGGGTTGTAGTTCAGCAGACTGCGAAGGCAGCAGGTTGTCGAAGGCTGAAACAGAGAAAGGAAGGACTAGAATACAGAGGTAGAGACGATAGGAAAAGCCACTGGGATTAATTCAAGAGGCTGTGACATCTCGCTTGTAATGTGAAGTGTCCCCTCTTGACTTCACAGAGCTGGATACCTGACCCTGTATGGCAATGAAAGCAAGAATTATGAAGATGTCTCTAGTCAAGCGAAAGACCGAGCTCACTCTCTGGAAGTATATCAAAGGTTTTATGAACTGGACCGACTGTTGATGAAAGCTGCCCGCTCCAATTTGACCACAGGTTGGTTTCCCTGGTCAAGAGTGACCACTTTTAGAATTCTGGGACTTGGTAGAGTGAAAGTGGGTTGTGGGTTAGAATTTCTAAAGGAGATTAAAAAAACAAACAAACCTGGAGATTCTTGATCTCATTTGCCTCTCCATCTTTGCTGTGGGTGTTTATTTCTAGTGTGCTTGTACTTCCCCATCAGTGTACCGGGGGGTTGGCTGTGTTGGTCTGTTGCAGCAAAACAGGCAGTCTCGCAGCCTCTCAGCACCATGGCTGGGGGACAAGAGGAGGCAGTCCTGCCCTGCTTGCACTTGTGCCGTGAGCATCTGATGGGTCGCTGTGTGACTGGAATGCTGGCCCAGGTAGGCTTGAGGTCTGATTCAGTAGGGCTTGTCCTGTGTTTTTATGCCACTTCATCTTCCTTCATCTCAGACAGCATGACTCTTAATCTGACGCACCTGAGGAAGACTCAGCTACCGCCTTTCATTGTGAATGGTTTATTGGGAAGGAGGAACTTGTGAGCAGTAGGTGGTGCCATTGTGTAACCTTCCAGTTCTACTTGCTTGCTTTTGAACAGAGAAAATAGACTCACTGTATGAAGACCAACCCAAATTCCCTATGTAAATATTTCAGGTTGCACAGGACTCTTTCTCTTGCTCAATGTTTGCAATGTAGGAAGGTGTCTCTGGAAGAAGACATGTTGGTAAGGCCCGTCCATAGTTTCTATCAACTATCAGGTTAGGGTTACGAAGGATGCCATCCTATATAGCTGCCGGGAGCCCTCCAAACTTGGAAGGCAACGGGAATCCAAAGGGCAGCAGGAGCGGCACAGGCCAGGACCCGCCAAACCTACCTAGACAGCCAGTGTTGGCTATTTGAATAATGTTCCCCTCCTTGTGAGAAGAGGCTGAGGCAGTGCCTGGATCCTTTGCAGAATGGTGGTGCCTTCCTCCCCCCCACCCCTGTAACACCCCCAACACCTGTTCTGAAGATGGTCTTCAGCACAGAAGGGAATGTGGGGGCAGAAGGACGGTCCTGCGAAGATGGAATCCCCACTTGAGTCTCAGGGCTTTTTGAGGTCACAGTGGGGACTCTGCTTTTTTCTACAGCCAGCTATGCATAAAACCACACCTCGGGTAGAGCTGTGTCTTCACCAAAAAAAAAGCAAACCCCCCCAAAAAAACCCTAAGGGAAGGCATGCTGGAACAGAGGAATAAATGAAGAAAGTCCTTCTGGAGATGCAAAGACAAGCAGTTGAGCATTACCATCAGTAACATGTGGACTCCTCTAACATATGGAACAGAAAAATCTGATAATGCTTATATTATTAAACCTGCTTATTAATGTCAGAAAATGGCCATCATGGTGGAAACGTCTGCTATCTAAGGAAGCTTTCCTTTTTTAAAAAAATAAATTTTTTTAAGATTTTTAAACTAACACTAAAAACATCAGTCATCAAATACATCAGACGTACTGGGTCAGCCCCCTACTCATGTTTTTTAACATTCCGTAGTCATATTTAAATCCATTTATGATAGCTTAAAAACATATTTAAATCTAAGCCAAGTTCCGTTTCTCTAGCCAATAATAAAAAGAGTCCCAAGTTTGATAGAAGTCAGTATCTTCTTTCTCCTTCAGTGATAAAGTAAGGAAGCTTTCCTTGAAACGCAAAGAGCATTCACTTTTTTCCATTGATTCCATTCCTATACCACCCAATGGCCAAATCTCTCTGGGCAGTTTACAAAAATTAAAGACCAAATATAATAGAACATAATATACAATATTTAAATAAATAAATAAATAAATGTAAAGTGATTTGAATCAGCAATTAACAATGGGAAATGAGATAGCAGAACCTGATGAAACAACTGACTCTGTGCCTGGGAGCAGAGGAAACCTGTCAAGATGTCTTTGTTGGTGCCAGGTGGACGCAGGCCTGGCATTCCACCACTGGAGGGGCAACCACTGAGAAGCCCCTGGGGACACTTGGAGGAGGACACAGCCTAAGAAGTTGTTCCTATTGTACAGGAAGGTTCATAACAACTTGGAACAGGTGATTTTCACAGGGACCTTGGCAGGTTGAGCACCAGCCATCCCTGTATTCCCAAGCCTGTTGAGGATTCACTACAATTCCGTAACAATATTTTTATATATGCATGGATAACAGAACCTCCTGTTCTGTTTCACTCTAACAGGAAGAGTGCTGCTAAGTTCAGCCAAGCTTCTTCTTTCTCATTATTCCCGAAAGTGCTTGTTATACCAGTGCAGGGCGGAGGGGGGATGACTCAACAAAGCAAAGGTTGAGCAGCAAAATGGGTAAATTACGTCTATGATGCAAATGCACATGAAGCTTGATTCTGCAGCTGAGATTAGTCTCATAGGAGGATGACTGAATCCATTAAGCCACAGCCATGAACTTGGAAAAGCTGGATGGAGCTGTCATGAACAAAATATTTTGGAGAGCTTTTTTTCATAGGATCACCATAAGTCGGAGACAACTGGACCACACAGAACCACCACCACAAGGCCCTTGGATAGATTCTTTAGCTGGCTGGCCTGCCACCTAGTGGCTAAATGATATGAAGCCCAGTGTTTCAGAAATCCATCCTCTGCGATTCACATGCTTTCAAAACCATACATTAGATATCACTGATCAACCACAGTGGCATTTCCATTTTTTAATGATCTCACAACACAATCCAAACAAGGCGAAAAGCAAAGTCATGCAAGTTGTAATGGTTTGCTGGGCTGCCTTCTATTAAACATATGTTAAATATCCTTTTGTTAAAGACCACGATACTGCGCAAATTAATATTCCATAATATTGACTCTGCTTCTAGTAGAAAGTGGGTGGAGGATGGGTGAGATGTGGATGGGTGTTCCACTCCCACCCATCAGCATCCTGTGCTCATGTCAAAATGCCTGGCCTTGCCCTGCCCGTTACGAACTACACGCAGGATCATGTCCATGCAGTGTGCTAGGAATCCTTGCCCAAGCACCAGGGCTGCAGAAATATGCACAATCTCTGCAGCTGATGCCCACATCATTTGTGTAATTAGGAGAGCCTGCTTATGGTTCCTCATTGCACAGCTCATTTTAATACTCAGAGCCTGCACTCAGGCTGAGCTTGCCTGCAATCAGCTGAAGCAGCCAAACAGAAAGCAGAACAGAGACCAGAGAGCTGAGCTGGGAGACTCCAACAGATGCCCTCCCCACCACAAATGGATTGCTCACACATCTCTAAGCACCAGCAATTTTGCGTCGATATCCCAAGGAGGTTCAGAGACAGGGCGGGTGTGTCCTCAAAGCATCCCCCTTACTTCTTTCGCAATCCTGGCTTCAGCCCACTGAGCAGCATGCGGTGGCGCTGCTTGGCCCCCTCTGCTTCTCTTGCAGTCACAAGGACCTCTGCTAGTGCAGCCAGTGCCAGAGGGGGCCAGTCTGTGCCCTTCCAGAAGTGAACATTTTGGCTTGCTTGTGGTGGATTCAGGTTTTGGTAGCTTTCCATTGGGTCAGTATGAGGTCCCAGTGACAGGCAGGCAGTAATGGATGAGATGATATACTATATATGATAAAAATCTGAGAGTCTTCCTAGTTTACAGGGTTATTGTCAGGATAAAATAGGATAACCCCTTCAAGGAAAAGGAGCAGACTATTAGATTACCATATCTGTGTCTCCGACTTTTCTGTATTGCAGCGGAAAGGAAAAAAATTACCATCTGCAAACAAGATCTCTGGAAGATACTTTCTGTGGAAAAGCTGAACAGCAGGGCAAATCGGAGTGTTTGGCTGGACAGCTATAAACAGCACTTGGTGGACCTGGGACTGGATGAAGACATGCAAACTAAAGCAATGGTGTTGCAGCTCTGGAGTACCCAGGTAGAAAATGCAGCCCCATGTCTCAGTGAATACTTTTGGGACTCTGAGTCACCATCCCTACTCTGACATACAACAGTGAGTGAATAGCTTTCTAGCCATCTGGATCATAATGGACTGAAGTTAGGTACACAAATGTTGATACACCCTCCTCTATTTTAAATGCAAATATAGCAAGTGAATCTAAGTTGCATCTGTGCACCAGCTGTTAGTATCTTGACAGTGCCAGTCATCTGTTAAAAACTAGGAAGGGGAGGCTGAATCCAGTTCTCCCCACTCAGCTGCTAAAGTACTGTAGGCACTGCGAAACTGCTCTGATCGATTCTGCACACACAGTTCCATTCAGCACTGGGATTTCTGTTTGCAGAATTCTTTGGGGAGAATGGAACAGGGTTTAGTGACAGACCACATGTTTGCATATGGCAAATCCTAGGTTGCCCAGGTAGGGCTAGGAAGGTTCCTGTCTGTGGAATACTGGAGATACGCTGTCAGAATATCTGTAGATAGAATAAGATGAACTTATTTTATTAATTAATTAGATGTATACCCCACCTTTCCTTACAAAGAACTCAAAGCCGCTTACGTACATCATTCTCTTCCTCTGGTCTCCATCTTACCCCCACAACAGCATCCCTGTGAGGTCAGTTGGGCTAAGAATGTGTGACTGGCCCAAAGTCACCCAGCGGGTTCCATGGCCGAGCAGGGGCTAGAACCCAGGTCGCCCGAGTCCCAGTCCTGTGTGCTTACCCACGACACCACACTGGTTCTCACTTACACTTATGGCCTGATGTGGTGCAAAGCTGCATCCACTGTTACTACGTTCTGAAGTTCCGGATCAGAGGCAGTCGCCTGTACACAGCAGTTGCTGGGAAGCATGCACAGGAGAGTGCAGTTTGTTTGCTTGCTTTTTGATTTATATCCTGCAAAGGGCTCAAGGCAGCTTACATCATTCTCCTCCTCCATCTTATCCCCACAACAACAACCCTGTGAGGTAGGCTGGGCTGAGAGTCTGTGGCTGGCCCAAAGTCACCCAGTTGGCTCCATGGCCGAGCGGGGACCAGAACCCAGGTCGCGGGAGTCCCAGTCCCGCGCTCTTCACTACGACGCCACAACTGGCTCAGTGGCACTCATGTTGTGCTTCTTGGATCCCAGAGGCATTTGGCTGGCCACATGGCAAACAGAACAGTGACCTAGGTGGACCTTTGGTCTGATCCAGCAAGTCCCTTTTAAGATGTGGCTTAAGGGGGGGATCTTCATGTGGAAATCTGGCCCCACATTTAGATAGCTTGTACTCACTCAGTGTGACTTCTGCCCATCAGCCTAAGGCATTCAGGAAGTGAAGCTCTGGCTCAGTGCCAGCTGCTTCTCTGAAGTTGGAAAATCTGGGGAATGCTGAGAGGCAGGAAGTGGAGAAAACTGCAGCACCCAGGGTATGATGTATCCTTTGTCCTCTGTAGCTTTCTTTCCTACTCCAGCTAAGTGACCACAAATGACCATTGAGCAGAAATGCATAGCAACAAGAGCAAGGAGATGCAGGTTACCCTTGCAGGTCTTCCAGCTCTGCATAAGATGCTCATAATCTTCCAAGGCTGCAGGGCATCTCAGGTGGATGGCACCTCAGCTGCTTAAGCTTTGCCTTTGGAAGTGCCTGGCATCAAGAGCCATAAAGCTGATAAGAAAGTTGTGCACACGACAGGATACCTCTTGGACCTGAAGGTGTGTTGCAGATTTGGCCAAATATTAGATGTAATCAGATTGATTCAGGGGACGTCTGAATAGAAGAGAGCCTTCTCCAAAGTGGACTGACTCTGAGCATGAATCATCCTGAAGTCTGTTAGCAATTTGGATTCAGGGGCCCCCAGAGACCCAGACTCTGTATCTGCCAGATCAATACATTTCTCCCTATGCTAACCAAGGAAAATACCAGGGTGGGGACAGCAGGTGCGCTTGTGTGACTGTCAGCTCTAGTTTCTGGTAACTTTGGATGGCTTTAACAGGCTCTCCAATTAGAGTTCTTAGGGGAAGGGATTATGAAGTAATAGATCACAAGACAGAACGTCTATATCCAGTTCTCTTTGTTAGCTTTCTCCTCACTGTTAAAAGAGTTTCTGTGGCATCTGAGGGACCTGGGACTACACCCAGTGTGTCACACTGGGTGCCTCCTTGAAAAATGCTGCGTATGCATGCCCTTCCGCATGTACCATGTCCATCAAAAACATCAGTCTCATTGCACTTTCTGTAGCTTCATTAACAATAGAACAGCAAACAAAAAGATACATACTACTTTCAATTAATCATAATTCCCCTGCAACTATCTTCCTTAAATTTTGCAGGTTTGCTGTGTAGGGACACCACAGAGAGGGAAACAAGAAATGAATTGCTCTTTCCACCCCTCAAATTACTCAAATACTCACTTTCCACAAGCACCCCAGCACCCACCTTGCAAAACAGGGTTGGTTTCTTAGCTAGGGCCACCTCTGTGTTGTATGCTGTTTTCATATGCATTGCCCATAAGCACATTTTTCTGGAAACCCCAAAGCTGTAAAGGCTGCTCTTCCACAACCTACCCAACAGGAACTTGACAGGCCTGATCCCTTCAGGGGGGCCACTAAGCCTGCAATTTACTGCAATCCAGTTCTGTTGGGGTATTAAAAAGTTACTGGTAGTTAACGGAAACTACTGCTCGAGAATACTACTGACCTTCTGTCTTCCCATTCCCACCACCATCAAAAATAAATGAACAGCCTACTTACAATATTGGATCTGCCCCAAAAGTCATTTCACTCTGCTGTTACCCTACATCGCAGAGTAGCTCGTTGCAAGAGTTTTCTGGGACACTGTCTCCAAGGAGGCAGAAGACACTTTATTCCACTGCCCCCGCCTCCCTCAGCAGGAACAAGCCTATTTGCTCACAATATGAATAATGAAAGCCCGTGTGCACTTCGTTTCCCCCTTTTTAAACAGCAGCACATTAATTATAAGAGCAAGCACATTCTTGAAAAGTTGAACAGAATAAACTTGCATTTTTCCCCTTCCGAAAACACAACCACCACCCAGCATGATTTATGTATGCCCTGTACTCCTCTCCATTGGATTTAATCTACTGCCAGTGCAACAGTGATGCTATATTGCATTTCACTTAATCATCACAACTTTTACAAGAAAGGTGCAGAAAAAGCACACAGTGCTGACCACTCAAGTATTTCTTTTACCCTCCATTTGGCATGGAGTCTGTTTCCCAAGTGTGGAAATAGCTGTGTCAACCCTGGGGGTAGCGGCTGGAGATGAGTTGTCAGATGCTTTTTCTTTCCATGAAGTCCCCCAGGACCACCTGTCCATGCTGTGAGGTCACAGGTGGGCACTCATTTTCCAAGATCAACTCATCTAGAAGGCAGCAGCAAAGGAGCACGGATGCTGGTACGGTTTCCAACCATGTGCCTTTCATGAAGAGGGTCCTCATTCAGTCCCTCCAAGGCTGAAATCCTGGAGAGCGGTTGTCAGTCGGTGCAGACAATACTGAGCCAGAGAGATCTGTGCTTTGACTCGGTATAACTTTGTGTAACTATGTCCGTAAGGCAAGGGTAAGAGCTCTGCTGGCTCAGGTGAAGGATCCCTCCAGTCCAGCATTCGGCTCGCACAGGCCAGGCAGCTGCCCTGCTGGAACAGGAGTGCAACAGCCCCTTCCCGCACATGGTCAAGCCAGTGGTATAGAGAGCCATAGTGCCTGCGATACTGCAGGGAGTGTGTAGGCATCGGGACCAGTAGCCGCTGACAGCCTTCTCTCCCAGTCCCCTTTTAAAGACGGGCTCCCACTACACCTCTTAGTAGCTAATCCCATAGTTTAACTATGTGCGGTGTGAAGAAGTACTCCCTTTTCTCTGTCCTGAAACTCCAGCCAGTCAGGTTGGAAGGATGACCCTGGGTCCAGTGCTATAAGAGAGGGGGGAAAGGTTTCTCTATCAGCTTTGTCTGTTGTATAGTTGTGTATACTGCTGTTATATCTCCTCTTACTACCCTTTTTCTTCAGCCGAACAATCCCAGCTATTCTACCCTCATAGGGGAGATAATATGTAGGATTTCAAGCCTAGAGGCCCAAATCGACCCTCTAGGGCCCCCCAAAGGAGATGGTCTCACCTCCTTTCCATGCCCCCAACCACTATGCACCAACCACTGATCATCTGAGGGTTTCCTGGTTTTTGTGCATTCCCCCCACCCCTATTCTGGGGGGCGGGGGGTTAAAGTGCAGCTCCTAAGGCAGGGACAGATAACTTTTAGCCCTCCAGATGTGCTGGCTTACAACTCCCTTGATCCCTCACAGTTGCCTCTGCTCACTAGGACTGATGAGGTTTGCAGGCGAAAATATTTGGAAGCCACCTTTGTTCAGTTGTGTAAGACTCAGATGCAGTAAGAGCTTTATGCTACCAATATTTTTTCCCTGTACTGCTGCATTTGTCCCCACTCACCACTGGAATGCAGCCTCCAAAAGCTGCTCTGAAATTAATTGCAGTGCTTGGGCTGAAAGAACTTCTGCACCCCTTTGCTGTGGTTTGCACTGGCATAGGCAAGGCTGTTGGACGTGCACAGGTAGCCACTGACAATGCCCACCTTGCTCTATGGAGTGAGAAATTTTGCAGGAAAAATTGTACGTGATCTCCACAAGGTCTCTTCTTTTTGCATGTATGCACCAAATAGGCTCCATTTTTTATTTTTAGTATGGAATTCACTTCTTGCAGGGAATGGTTTTTCCTCAAAACCCTTAGAATTCATTCCTGGAGGTTGGGTTTCACCTTTCTTCTTCTTCATAAGAGTGGTTCTGTAATCATCTGGGTGTCCAAAGTGGCATCATGGAAGTGTGGCCTGAAGAGGTGGCCCTCATGTCTATTTCAGCTGCCATCCATTTGGTCAGTTGGGTGCCTCCAGTTTTTGAAGCCCTACTGCAGCTCCTGTGAACAAAGGAGCTGGAAGCTTTGTTCAAGCAGTGCCCGATCATGTGTGGAGGGTGGAGCAGGGCCCATGCACAGCCTGACCCCAGTGGCTGGGGGTGGAGGGGAGGAAGGGCTCCATGTGCTAGCCTGAGCACACTGGCTATGTCCCCAGCAGCTGTGATTTCAAGCCACCCTGCCCTGAGTGGGACCGCCGAGACTGTGCTTAGGATGTTCTGTGTGACCCGGAAGCCCAGTTGTTCAGGTTCTCAGTGGCAGGGAAGATGCCAAGCGTGTATGGCTGCATCCCTGAAGATTCCCACCTCAGACCTTCTGCTCAGCACACGAAGGCCTGAGGCTGCAGCCAGGAGGAGTGAGGTTTTGCAGATGGGGCTAGCCCTGTTGCTGTCCCAGTCTCTGCATTGCCCCCTTGCAGTGTGAGAAAGGGTGGAAGGGCATGAGTAATGCATACGCCACACAAGCAACGAGGCCTCTATTGTACCACATCCGAATCGTCGCAGTGAAAATTATAGTCTGTTTCTAGACTGTGATTTTATTTTTCTACTGCAGGTTTTGGTTTGGCTGCATGTTCACAGGGCATGACTAATTTCCTTCTGCTGTGGCCCAATCCCCCAAGAACGTTTCTGCTGTTAATTTACTGAGCTGCCAGCAAAGACTTTCTGTGTATGAAAAAAGTGTTTTTTCCACCTGAAAATGTTATTTACATAGGCATGTGTTTTGCATCCATGTGACGTAGGAGATATTTTACATCTGCCGAAGGCAATTAAGAAGAAACACTGATTTGTTGTTGTTTTATTTTTAGAATAATGCCGGCCCTGCAGTTTTTTGGCTTCTCCTGTTTCTTTTAAAATACCCTTCAGCCATGGCAGCAGTTCAAGGTGAAATGGAAAAGATTTTGAAAAGCAAAAATCGAGCAACTGGGAAAGTGGATTGGATCAGCCAAGAGATTTTGGACGGCATGCACATTTTTGGTTAGTATTTTCCCATCCAGAGCCGTTCTTGGGCAGTTTGGTCTTTTTGGCAGAAGAGGTAGATATCTTCTGGAGAACTTCTTATCCATCCCAGTGGCTCCTTTGGCATGCAGATTTCCTTCACATGGGGATCTGGGGCCATCAGATTCTCCATCAGCCCCCTGTTTCTGTGATCATGCGAACAGCTCTTCTCCACGTTCAGTTTCTCCATCTTCTGAACTGATATATGTGATCACATGGAGAAAGTAAGTGGGCTGAACATGGACTGACTGGCATTCAGGTACAGGGTGTTTAGCAAACCTTGAGAGAAAATCCTAAATACAAGAAACAATTCCTTCTTTCCTATATCATTTCCTTCTATATATACTTGTCCAGACCCTAAGAGCATCTTCAGCAGTCTTCTCCAGGAACCACTGTTAAAGGAAGTGAGGTGTGTAGCCACTAAAAAGAAGACTTTTTCTATGGTGGCTCCCAGTTGTGGGAAAAGCTTCCCAGAGAGCTTCCCTGGCACCTACATTGTGGTCTTCTGGGCATCAGGTGAAAACCTTTTTTATTTCCCCAAGCATTTTAATTTAAATTTGTTACTCCATTTTAAATCACCAGAATGCTGCTAGGTTCTACTACATTATTATTTTTATTTTTTACTGCAGTTTTCAACTTTTCAGCTTTTGTGCTGTTTTCTCATGTTAGGGTCACTACCTACAGAGAAAGTATTTATTTGTGGGAAATGGTGGGTGATGCATACATGAAAATGGCATGTGCAAACTTTCCACCAGTTTTTCTGTCTTGTACTAGCTAGTTGGGGGCTCACAAGAAAGTGAACAAGATTATCTACATTTCTGCCCTCCCTAAAAGCCAAAGCTGTCTATGTGGTTCACAAAACCTAACTTTAAACTATAAACTCAGTTATATACACAAATATAAAAACCTTAAGTTTAAAGCAGAATTAAACCAGAGTAGCAGAGCAAAGATCTAAAACTGCATCAATGCTTCCTCAAACACAAACGAATCTCAAATCTGAACAAGTAAAATGCCTGGGAAGACCTGCCACCAAAAAGATGTTTCTGGAAAGGATACACAACAATTTTGGTGCCACCACTGAAAAACCCCCATCTTTAGTAGCCATCTGGCTTACCTCATGTGGTAGGGATGCTTAAGCAAGGGAGAAGATTTGGAAGAGATTCTGAATCTGAGAAGTCAGAAGCCAGTGTTCGTGTTAGGCTCCAGTGACCTTGGACAGCTCCTAGGGACAGATCAGCATTCCCTATCATGCTGTCTTCCAGACACATTGGACTTACAATCCCATGCTGGTTGGGTGATACCTGGCATTGTATTCAGCACATCCGGAGGCCAGCAGGTTTTAGAAGGGTGGGATAGATGCACTACCTCAAGAATGCTTAGGGTCTAAGTGAACTCCCAAGTGGTGGCACAGATCATCTGCATCTTTGGCAGAACCCTAATGTGGAAATCTGCATGCCAGTGTTGTTGGATGTCCTACTGGCATGCCTTCTAACCTCTCAGCAAGGAGATGGTGGTTGGAGTTGGGTAAGTTGGTAGAGCCTCACACTGGAAGAGCCTGGAGCTGCTTCAAGGGCAGAAGCAGATGCCTACCCTAGATGACCTGGGAAGAGCTACTCATGGAGGGACTAGGCTTGCCTCTCCCAAAATACACCCCAGAACCTGAAACAACTGGAATAATAGGTAGAGCAGAATTCTTAGCTGAAATGCCACGGCTAGCAGAAATGGCAATAGGCCAAGAGGCTGGTGAGAACCACATTGCGTCTGGTTCCATGAACTCTGTTTCCCTCATAACTGGTATTCTAACTTTGCTGGTATTCTTTTGTTGAATGACTCCTGCCACACTCCTTTGTATCCCAAAGCCAGCACAGCCTAGCCAGTCTTAATGTAATTAAGACTGCAGTTAGAATCCTGTTTCCTGACCTGCTTGGAAGGAGAGGAGAGGGAAAGAGCAGCAATTCAGTACTAAGCCTCAGGCAGGCTTTGGGAACACACAGAGTCCCTGAAGTAGGCACCTGCTGACAAAAATCTCCATAGGCTTCCTCTACCCAGGGATCAATATCTGAAGTATAATGAGTGGTTTGGCCTTGGATGCCTCTTGTTCGTTTGGACCAAATTACTCTGTAATGCAAAGCTAAGTTGCTGCTGAAATTCTCTTGCAGTATTTATGCAAATGGGTGATTATTGTTCATTTGGACTAGAGAGATGGAAGCAAAACCTTTGGGAATTAGACTGCCCAATGCGGAAATTGAACAGGAGCTGATATAATCATTGCAACCAAGTTGCGCGTACATGAACTTTGCCCTGTACCTGCAGCTAAAAAGTTTTTTAAAGGGTTCTTAGTCTTGTTGACATGATCCGGTCAATCAGGGATCGTGTAACCAACATGATGCCATGGCATCCCACACCCAGTCAGCTCTGACTACATGATATTGAGAGGGACAGCTCTGCCTCTGCCTTCACTTTGAATGAACGTGGACAATAAATTACGGTGGGATATTTGCAGGACCCAAAATCGTTACGCCTTCCCAATTCATTTCAGTGCAACACAAGAAATCTTTGCAAAATGTAATGGCAGTGGTGAGCACATCAGCCATGGTGATCTTTTCATGGGAGCATAATTTCTTGGGCATAACCATTATTTCAAGTCACTATATCTCATTCCAAATGCTATAACTCCTACATTAGCAGAACAGCTTCTCGCCATCAGTCAAGTCTAGTAAAAGAAAATGCTCATTAGTCGTGTTCGGAACTGCTATTAAAATGGGGTTGATTTGTCCCAGCAGTGACATATTTTCACACTATTCTTCCTGCTAAAGATCAACATATGCCATGCAAGGGCCTTTTATGTATGCTTCAAGAGATGGCCAATAAACTTGTTAAAACCAAGAGTACTCTTGTGAAGGCAAAGACTCTTAGTCCCAAGGTCAACTGCTTGAAATTGAGACACTTTTGAAAAACAGATTGTTGCATGGTGAATCTGTTCAGAGACTGGACTGGTTGCATAAGTAAATATTCTCCCACATGAAAGAAAAACGAGGACACACAGAAACATAACTTATCAGGGTGTGGATTCTAACCTAGCTCTCTCCTTGCAGTCTAATTCTCTTTAAATATGGGTTGAAATGGCAACGTATGCATCACATTTAATCGATCAACCCTTCCTCACCTTCAACTGTACTGGTACAGTCTGGAACTGATTTGACCTAGCCATAAGCTGTTTCTTTAAAAGGCTTCTAAATTCTAACAAAATTATTAGAATTTGCCCAGGTGAGTGCATTTACAAATGGTAGCAAAAGACTCATTTTCTGAACTACAACAGGAATAATAAAACCTCAGAAGTACTGGAATTTTGAAAGTAGGTTCTGATACCAAAAATGCTCTCCTTGATTTTTTTAATAGCATTTTACATTCCACCTACGTTCAGTTTTGTGATTTGTGGTCAGCCTCCCCTAAACTTATGCACTACAATGTTCCACATTCCTGACCATTGGGCATTCTGGCTGGGGCTGAGAGGACATAAAGTCCCAAACATCTGAAGTATACCAAATTAGGGAAAGCTTGCATTGTGCCTTCTGCATAATTTTCCATGACTATGTACTGGGTTGTCCTTTGTTAGAAAATACATCTAGTCTGGGCCTGGCTTGCTTAAAGAACTGCTCTCCAAGCGCATATGTTCTAGAGATTCAGTAAGTAAAGGTACCTGGCCCTGTTTTCCATGCTTCTTTTGCACTGCAAGAAAAGATGGGATTCCCAGAATTGCTAGAGCGGTCGTCTTCAACCTGATGCCATCCAGATACATTGGACTTACCTGTTGGCCAGGCTGACTGGAGCTGATGACATTTGAAGTCCAAGACATCTGCAGTGGACCAGGTTGTGCAAGGCCAACCCAGAATAACTGCAGGGAAAGAGTAATGCCATTTACTCTGGCTCCATCTTTTTTTCTAATGGAGAAGGCTGAGCTGTTCCACACCTCATGCTGTCTTCACCACCAGTCCATCAGTGTGGCACACAAGTTCTCCCACAGCAAACATGCAAAAGAAAGAATTGCAGGTGTGTGTTTTTAAACACTTGTGTACACATACTGGGAGACAGTAGCCCAGTAACGGCTCACAGGTGTGTGTGCAAATCCATATTCATTCCATGTTTTTCTCTGAGCCTGCTATCGATCTTCCTTGCCTTCTGTTTTTACTATCCCAGTGACCTGAGAGGTAGGTTACCCAGTGAGTTGCATGGCTCAGCCTAGGACCTGAGTTGTGCCCAGGTCTCCCTGGTCATAGTCTTTCCAGTCTCAGTTACACCTCACCTCACTGGCTCCCCAAGCTGTGTTTAAGATCAGCCACCTCTTTTTTTTCCCTTTGGAAGCCCCCATGTAACCATGTCTGACCTGTGGCAAATATAAGCTTTGCCTTTGACACTGAGCCTGGAATACAGGGCCTGAGTTCTTGTTTTGTGTTTTCTTGCTGCTAGTTCAGATTTTTGGAAGCAGTCAGAGATCGTGCCTTTTCTATATGCTCTTTTTGTAAGCCAGCCCACAGTGCAATGTTATAAAGCAATTGTCTTGTTGAAAGTGGAGCCATCCTCTTCTTTGGGCAGCAACCCACACCTTTACTCTTGCATTTGCATGCACTAATTGTTCCCTTTGGGTTCCTCTCCTGTTTTCCACAGACAGTGCCTTGAAGGAAACCCTGCGTATGACAGCAGCTCCTTTTATCAGCAGAGAAGTCCTTCAAGACATGTCCCTGAAACTAGCTGATGGCAGAGAGTACCACCTGAGAAAGGGAGACAGGCTTTGCCTCTTTCCATTCATAAGCCCTCAGATGGACCCTGAAATCTACGAGGAGCCAGAGGTAATGCCTTCCAAATCATGTTCAGTATGACCATTTCCTCCGTAGGTTTCTTTTATTTTGTGGTTAAGCTGAACCCAGCTGAGAATTGTGATAATAATGTAGGTGTGCAGCCCTTGTGAGCACAAGATAATATAAAATCAAAACTGCGTGGCAACGGAACAGAAACACAATGCCCAGCCTAGAGACAGAGTAGTGCTACTGTGGACAAGTCTGTGTATATTCCAGGATTCTTCACACTGCACCTCTGGTCCTTTAGTGTGCTTAAAAAACAGGTTTCTAGCATTCAGGGCTAGATAAAATTTCAGAAGGGAGGTAGGGAGACTGCAGAATTTCTGTTGGTCAGAAATGAAAGCTCAGGAATTCTGCAGAACTGCTTTGCCCATCTCATGACTGACAAAGGCAAGATCAATGGTGCAAAAATATGCAAACTTGGAGCTTGCAACTTTAAATACGGCCTATATAAAATGGGATAATTGAAAACAATGCTAGTTAGAGACGCAGGAAAAAGAACAAGAGAAATGCTGTTCTGCAGCCCATCCTTTGGACTTTCTGATTTGTGATTCTTCCAGACTGACATTTGGACTAGTCGGGAAGGATACAAGAACAGATAGAGCTGCAGGAGAAAATCATTCAGTTTGACTTTAATTTTACACTTTCCAACTAATATGCATACTAAAACTGAGCTGTCCAGCAATATCTGCAGTTTTCTAGAATTTTGCAATGGAGTTCTCCAGTCAAAAACTTCATAGATCCAAGAAACATGCACACACAAAATGCATATATCAATGGAAATAATGTTAAATGACATATATTAAGAAAAATGTTTGCAAGAATGGATACATTAGGCAAAAGTGTACTTACTAGAAATGTGTACAAAAATATGTAAAACCTTTTGTACAAACTTGTAGTGCTATTTTCAGAGTTCAAGATGAGCCAAACTTAAGACTGGAAAAAGGGAAACTAAGAGACATTGAAATGGACTGATTTGACTGTCCTCAGAGGCTGCATTGCTTGCGCCAGATATCACAGACACTAAATCAGCTCAAACGATACCTGAGGAATCTTCTCTGTCTAAAAGGACCTGACTTACCATCATCATTCTGGCGTACCCGAGATGCCTTTTGACATTCCAGTCTTGGGAGAGCTCCCTGAAGTGCTCTCATGAGCAAAATCTTAATGGACTTATGCAGCCATTTAAACTCTGCAAATCAGATATAAATTTGCTGAGGAGCCATTAATGTCTCTGTCCAAATCACAAGAAGCTCATTCACATTTCACTTGGGTTCTCTGCACCTAATTAATTTGCTCCCAAGGAGTGGCTGCTGAACAAGTGTCCTGTTTCCACCGAAAAACATTGTGTTGGATGATGCAAAAATTCTGTCTGCGATGTTAGATGTGCGATTCAGGCAAGACTTGGTATTGCACTCATCTGTGAACCACATACCTATTTATATTTTCATTAGTGCTCTCTCTGGGGGAAAGATTAATAACTCTCTGGATTTATATCTAAATCCTCGAAATAGAATTATTTAAACTATCCTTCCCAACCTGTTACCTTTTTGACGTGTTCAGCTGCGATTCCCAGTATTCCTCACCAGCATGGTCATGGCGATAGCTCTGCTGGCTGGAAATGTTGAAGTCCAACACATCCAGGGAATACCAAGTTGGAAAGGCAGCACTAGACAGTAATAAACAAAGAGCATACTGATTTATTATGATCAGTGGAATTCCTAATTGACTGTTGCTGTGACAACAGAAGGTTCTTTAAAAATATGTATCAATGTGGCTTTCCCTTCTTTGTGTTCCTAGCCTGACTCCCCTGCCTCATCCCATTAATTTTCTCTCCTGTTAACAAAGAATCAAACTGAGATCTTTTCCATTTATAAACAGCTCCCCAGGGACCGTCATGGCAGAAATGACACTGATATTATTGTAACACAAGTCTCATTAAATTATTGTTTGCAAGATTAGATGATGCCCACTTGTGTTCCAATAAGCAGGAAAATTCCCATGTTCTATTCCTGGACAAAAAGTGTTTTAGAACCTGTTTAATTTTTATATTTTTAAATGTTCAGTAAAGCCTTGTCGCTGGTTTAATTTGGAGTAAGGAAAAAATCCCAGAAAAGCTTAGGAAAAATTAAGATGATCAGAGAAACTTCAATTAAATGTTCCATTTTTACACAGAAAGTTTTCATGTAACCATGGTTAGAGAGCATATGTGTATCAAATCCCCAAACACTTTAAACCCAAGCCCCTATTAAAGGGTCCAAGTTCAGATTCTGTCCAGGCAAATGGAGTTGGTTACGGAATGTACAGCTGAAGGATGCTGGCAATTATATGAAGGCACGTGCAGTGGTCTCAGTGCAATGATGAAGCATGCACCACGCTGCACCCAATCGGCCCGTCTCTCTCTTGTCTGAACGAGACCTCTGAGGAGCATCAGTTGACATAATGACAATATTTTGATCTTTGCCGCCTCCTCTTATGTAGCTGTCAGACAAACATAGAGCAATGGACTGGTTACAGCACTGGCTTCAGACAACAAATTAATCTCCACTCACAGGGTGAATATGGAATATCACTGAATGTGTGTTCTTGCTGAAATGTACGTTAATCGTCTTGCTTGAACCCAGTTGCACTAACAAGGTTAACCATAAAGGAACCATGGTTTGTAGTTGGGTTATGAACTGTGGGTTATGCACCATGGTTTGCTATCTCAGACAACATGATAGCTCCCATTTCCACAACAACTCAAAGTTCAGTGAAAGTCCACTCTTGATTGTGAGTTAATCACGTAGTCAGTGTGTTAACAACACTCATAACAGGCTGTATCCAGTATTGCCAACATGCAACCCACCACTAGTGCAACATGTCGCTAGCAGTTTATAAAGCAGGAAAGAAATGCTCTTTTCCGGAATGGGACTGGCAGTAGGGAGCTCGACTAACATCTCCTCATGCAGAAATGGACTTGCTTTAGGCAGTGCTGATTTTCTGCTGTGCTACTGGGTGAGTCCTGCAATTGCAACAGAATGAGCAGAAGCAGAGTGATACTGGATGCTGCCCAGTGAAACCCCTGTTTATTTCAGTGGAGTCTGCTGGGGAAAATATACTGTGGATTGTACCCTATTCAGCTGCGGAGATTCCCTCCCCAACAAGCCCCAAAGGCTTGCTTCAGCTGGACTTTCGCTCCACTGGGACCAGCTCATGACCTGCCCTACCTGGAGACCCCCTTCAGCAACGCGCATGCACTCCCAGGGTCACCTGCTGCCATAAACAGCCCCGAGACAAGGATGCCAGGAGCAAAGGAGGCAAACTCGAATGGCACCTGTCCCTGACTGCCTGGACTCATGCCAACCCCATCCCAGGGCTGTCATCCACCCATTGCCCTGAGAGAAGGAGCTTTCTGAGGATTATTGTTTCTGATTGTAATATTTTTATGTCATTTTTAAGATGCTTCTCTTGTATTTGCACCCAAAAGCAGCATAAAATAATAGGGATAAACAAATAAAAAGAACCCAAATCAAGGGCAGCTATGTAAACATTATGAGTTGTTTCCAGATTTAGAGTGCAAGCCTATGCAAGTTTAGACAGGAAAATGGTCTAAAACTCCAAGCAATTTTTCTGTCTAAACTTGCATAGGATTGCACCTTTCAACCCACACTTAGAACAGGCTCATTGACATCAATGTGACTGAAGTCAGACTCTCTTAAGGCCTAATTTGATTTCAGTAGGTTTGCCTGAAGTATGACTAAGCTTGAATCCAACTCTTACATTTGTTACATGGTCATCCGTTTGTTTTTTATTTCCACTGCTCGAAACAGTCAGACAGAGCTCTGCATAACTTAAAATCTTGCATCCTGCATTTTAAACACTGATTGGCACATGCAACAATAAAAAATTGTCTCGCTCTGACCTTTTTGTTTTTCAGGTATTCAAATATGATCGATTCCTCAATTCAGATGGCACAGAAAAAACAGACTTCTATAAAGGAGGCCAAAAGCTCAAGTATTACACCATGCCATGGGGAGGAGGGCTGAATGTCTGTATTGGAAAGGACTTTGCCATCAACAGCATCAAACTGTGAGTGAATATATTGACATTCTTTTAATGCCCATCGCTAACTATAATATTTTATTTAGTAAGTTATAATGTTTATAAACTGCTCCACATCTAAACTGATTTTGCAGCAGTGAAAAATAAAAAATGAAGCAGAGTTTTAAAAATAAAGCAATGTGTTAGAAAGAGAATATCAGTAAATCCACAAGTGATTGGTCAAAGCAGGCTTCCTGAAATGAAGGTGGTTGCAAGAGGCACCACAAACAGCACCGTGTCAGTACCTGCCTGATCTCCAGGGGGAGTGCCACGGAAATGAAAGTGAAGGGGCTTCTCCAGGTGGACTCCAGCTGGGCCATGGGGAATCACCAGGAACATGCCATTTGGTGACTTCAGTGTGGATGTATTTTTTTTCCTCCACGTTATTATGTTTTTATTCTTGTTCAAGTTTGATTTTCAATTTTGAGCTGTAAATTAATTAGTATAGTGCATTTTCTACTGTGTTTTACACCTGCTGGGCTGAACTGCCCAGAGAGCTTTGCCTGTGCTCCTGAGCCAGCCGTGTAACATTCAGGTTGACCCTGCTTCTGGTGGCTGCTTGGTGCCGGGCAGCTGCCATTTTTGTTTCCCAAAGGCACTCAAGGAGATCAGGAGGAGTGAAACGACCGCTTTCTAGGTGCCCAGTGCTGCGCATCAGAACAAAAGTCAGGGTGGAGGGTGCTGCAGCGCCGGGGTCAGCAGTGGGTTATGCCAGGCCACTGGTCCCAAAAGCCTCTGGAGAAGGGTGGCAATCGGTATTTGGGACCAGTTTGGGACCATTCTGTGATTTCAGTCTTCTAAAGCAAAAAATGGTCCTTGACATTAGCTTGCCATTTGGACGCTCTGTTTTCAGCTGGAGTTTGCCTCTGTGCAGAAGCCTGTTGGAATCAGCAGGCTTACTGATGTCAGTGAAGAAGAATGCATAGGATTGCACCACCGGGCTACAGCTGCCATTAGAAATGAGCTACAGCAAACTTCTCTCCCATAGAGCTGCATGCTCGTTGCAGGAGACCTGCTCCAAGTGGAGGGGGAAGCTGCTAGAACTGATTTGTTGATCTAGATCAGCATCTTTGCTTGAGGATGGGAATGTGGGCACTGCTGAGATGGATGCCTCCACCAGGGCCATCACTCCAGGCTGGTCCATTATTCAGCCATTGTAGGGTGGCCAGATGCTAAAGAAGACAGTCCTCCTGAGCTTGCAACAGCAGCATAGAAGAGGGGATTTCAACAGGCGCAACTTGTCAGTGCAAGAGCCCCGGCCACTTTGGGCTCAGGTCACCCCACGGCTATGCATGATTAAATCAGGAGTGGGTCAGACCTGCTCAGGATGTAGCTGTTGATCCCTGGATGGCTTGCAGTGCTTTGTAAGGATTTCTTACTGCCAGTTGTTTAACAATACAAACAACAGAACCATTTTCTCTCCCCACTTAGATTATATTGCTGAAATGATGAAAACTTGGGCTAGTAACCAGGGATAAAAAGGATGTGAGCTCAGCTCAGTGCTGATGTTTGGCAGATGCTCAGGAACACCAAGTGCATGATTTTTGCAGCTGGCTCCAGCTGGGGAATTTTGAGATTCCTGTAAAACATGAAGTAAATCCTGTAAGCGTGAAGTCTGCCTTCCCCGGAATTAAGGCATACAATCCGCAAGTCTGTACAATGGAAAGAGGTCTGTCTGCTGGGCTTCCTTCTTTTAAGAATTGACCTTTATAGACAGGCCCCTGTTTGGATAATGTCTCTTCTGATCAGCCCCTACTGAAGCCCATGAAAATAGGTTATCTGTGACTCTGAAATGCCATTGCGTTACCATGTGACTTAGGTGCACGTCATATTTCAGCTTATCTACAAGCAAGCCCTCTGAACTCAGAGAGACTTAGTTGTGAATCAAACTGCATACGTCTGTACTGCTGGATTGCAATCTCTATTAGAACAAATCCCATAGAATAAAACTGAACTTTCTTCTATGGTTACCATGCACAGAATTGTAACCTTCATTAGCAGGATGGAGGCCAATGAAGGAAATTTAGATTTGTTTATGCATTTCCACCCATTCAACCTCTCTAGGTACTTGAATCCATTTTATATTGAAATATCAAAATGAGTCAGCATCTTAGGCCCTGATTCACATAATACTTTTATCATTTCAGGTGTGTTTTTCTCCTGCTAAGCTCTCTTGATTTGGAGCTGAAAGATCCCAAAGCAGAGATCCCAGGCTTTGACAAAGAAAGATACGGTTTTGGAATGCTACAGCCAGACAAGGAGGTCATAGTGCGATATAAACGGAAAGACCAGTAAAATGGTGCCTTCCTTCTCCTGACCAGGTTATTCTGGCTACTGCTTTGCAATTTGCAAGAAAAAAGTACTTCATTTGTTTCAGCAGAAATGTATTTGGACATGATATTGCTAAGGATTGGTTTATGCTATTGCCCCAAGGAGATCATTTTAAATTTGATCTCTGCAGCCTCACTGAATGGGTTTGGCATTAACACCACACTAGCGCAAGCCAGTAACCCGGTTTGCGCAGTATGATGGCAATTCCTAGGTTGTTTGAGTCTGGATAAATAATAACTAGCTCATAATTCATTTGTGAGTCTGGAAAAATAACAAACTAGCTTATAATTACTTTGTGAGTCTGGAAAAATATGAACAGATTGATAATGCATTTGTGAGCATAAAAGAATCAAGGCCTGGGCTTTTTGTTAGTCCAGAAAATCATAAACTGCTTACAGTGCATTTGCACACTGTAAGTCCTCCTTAACAGATTTTTCCTGTGAAGAAAGAAGATGGAAGGAGCATTGCAAAAACACAGGAAGGCTACATGTGGAAGATCCCTGTGAAGAGGCAGGCACAGTCAAAGGAAAACAACACTGCCATTAACAATTCTAAAGCTGCTACAGCTGTTCCAGAAACACCTGTCCAGAGGTGCCCGTAGCTGTCTCTTTGTTACAATCTTGGGAAACCAAAATCCCCAAGTGTGCCTTATTCACATACAACAAGTTCAGCCATTTAGGTTGGCCACTCCATCTTGTGACCCCAGTTCCCAGTCCAGGCTTGCCAGTCCTAGCCCTGATTTATTTGCAGGTAAGATGAAGGTGATCCCCTTGCCACAAAGGTCAGTACATAGCCTTCTGGTCACTCAGACTGGAGAAAGGAAGCCATTTCAGGGCTTTATCAGCTCCAAGTAACACCTGTAGATACGGCTGGAGATTTTTATTCCATAAGGACAAAGGAGAAAATCAATACTGGAGCCCACCAAATGTTTCCAAGCTCCAGCTTCCAAGCTCCCTTCCCAGTTGCCATTTGTTTTTCTTTTCATTTGACTGAGAAAGTTTGCATTTCTTTAAAACTGCTGTTATTGTTGTTTAAAAATACTTCTAAAAGGACAATTTTTTTGTAAAGCATGCATTTCCAAACATGACTACAGGTTCAGGAATGTGTGAGCTTTTCCCCAAACCTGCTTCTATTCATGTTCACAGTCAGGGAAAATTTCAGGGAAAATATATCAAAAACAAATTCTTATATATTTCTCTCTAACACCATTGCCAACTAACAGAGCACAAACCGTTAAGAATAATTTCTAAGTAGAGATTGGTACCTATAGACAAGAAGAAGGGAAGGGAAGGCCAGGCCAGTAACTGATGATTTTGGTAATTAACACAACAGTCCAAACTATCCTAACCATTTCAATCTGACTAAAATATTTGTGTAACTGGGCTACTGTAGATTTTAAAACTGAAGTTAATTATAAGCTAGAGTGTGCAAATTCTGGCCCTCCAGATGTTTTGGCCTGCATCTTCCATCAACCCTCCCTACCACAGCCAGTTGTGAAGGCTGATAGGAGCTGCCATCCACAAGTCTCCCCTGAAAATTAGAATTGCTTGCACAATCACAGTGGACAGTAGTCTCCTGTGAAGTGCAAACTGGCTTTTGTGCACCTGAGATTTGTTATGATTGGAGAGTCAAAATTTATTTTTAGTTATCTGGGATATGTCTGTCTGTCTGTCTGTCTGTCTCTCTCTCTCTCTCTCTATATATATATATATATATAGAGAGAGAGAGAGAGAGAGAGAATGAGAGAAAGCATGCAGAAGTACACAAAGTCTTTAACACAAAGAAAATGTACCTTTAATGCAAAAGATGGTGTGCATTTCATAATTAAAGAAAAGCTAAAAAAACCCCTACAGAACTGGAAAGACAATGTGGTATATTGGTTAGAGCAGAAATGGAGCAGCCTACCAGGACAGGAGCGGCAGTGCTGCCTCAGCCCCTTTCAGCTTGCTTTTAGACAGGTTGCTCCTGTGAATACTTACGGAGTGCCATCTTTAATCGTTGTTATGCTGCTATGGCTTTTTTAGTCCCATTTTGAGGGTTTCTGTGGTTTGATTGAGTTTTTGTTCCTTTTATTATTGTGCATTTTTATCCTGATCATCCCAAATGTTTTTTAGAATGGTCAGATACAAATTTAAAAATAAACAGCAAGGAATTCAGCATCCTGAGAACCTCAGCTTGCATTCTTTTAATATCGCTAGCCCTGGTGGTTGCCAATGGAAGTGTAAAAAAGCTGAAGGGTTGCGTCATCAAATCTTCAGCAGGCACCATAGGATTTACCTTGGCCAGGTGGCTGGACCTTTGGTGTCTTACAGAGCTGCTGCTGTTCACCCTGTTTATCTGCAGCATAATGAAATGAGAAAAAACCCTGAAGGGTTTCTTAGTCTGCATAATATATTCTGCTTGCAAAAACGGTTATTATTTCTCAGTGCACAGTTCAGACTGTTTTGGAGCAGGGAACACATTGGGCAGTTTCAGGTGACATGGAAAGAGCTGTGACTTCTTTGCCCCAGAGAATCATGCCTATTGTGGCTCAGGGGGTACTTCCCCTGCCTCTCCCCTCAGTCCCAGGGACACCAGAGGAGCATCGATGTCATGCTGCCCCCACCCCCAGCCGTGATCACAAGCCTTTTTTGGCTCACTGTTTTTAAAAATGGACGACATACAAAAAGTGGTATTTTGGGGCAGTTTTCCCTGTTTTGAGACGCTGCAAGCTGATACCCCTTCCCAGGATCTCCAGCAGCTTCTTGGCCCATGGTAGTCCCCTCACCCCACCCTTTTTTAAAAGAAATAACTGGGATTCTTTGCTCAAATAATTGCACTCTTAACATTTTCTTTCCCCCAAACTCCCCTGTTTGCACAAACAGGGCAGGTAGGAAAAAAAGATGTGGGGAGACCACGAGGGAGGCACTGGCCAGGGAGGGTGGCTACATATAAATAATTTTCTGCTCTCCCCATTTCTCAAGGATCTGTCAAATCTGGCACGTCAGGACAGGGCAGCCCAGTGCAAAAGGAGATTTTACCACATTCACGGCATCCTTGTCTGGTTTTGGGGAGATCAGGTTCCCCGCCTATCTGCCAGTTTTGCAAGTGTCTCCTTGCTGTTCTCATGAGGGAACCTGCAACCCTGGAGGGGAATCCCAGTGCCTGTAGGCAGGGGGTTTGCTGTGTCATCCAAATCCAGGAAGCATGGCTTGTTGGAGGGAGAACAACCTTACAACAACTCTACAACAAGCAATGGGTTACTGGAGGGCTGTTTCCCTTTCAACATGCCATGCCGGCCAGGTTGAGATGACATGACAATGTTTCCAAAGCCTGAATATGCTACTTGGCACCCATGTGCAGCACAGCTTGTCCACTGTGATAATCATGCAAACCTGGTCAAACGGTTCCTACAACCTGCTAAGCCATTGAGGTGCGATCCAGTGCCTCCCCTGCAGATGAATGTAAGCCACTGAACTCGGAAGCTACTAGTTCTTCTGTGCTCATGTTCATCTAATGCATGGAGTGATGCATGGCGGCAGCAGTCTCTTGCCGCAGCCCCTCTTACCATCCATTTCACCGAGATGGCTGTTAGCAACCCAGATGAAGCACCTGGCAGGTGGGAGAAGGAGATGAAGATGGCAGTTAGAGATGGCATAAGGCATCAGCCCCAGCCTGCTCTTCCCCCTGATCCCTGGACCATGTCCTGTCCTTTTCTTCAAGACCCTTTATGCCCTTGGAGAGGCTGCCAGCACAGATCTTCCCAACTGGCTGCAAGGGCGTAGGACGGGGGCCCAGCCATCAAAACCCCAGACGCAAAATCAGAGGACCTAAAGCTGGGGCTCCACATAATCCATAATAGCCACCAGACAATGGGAGGATTGCATCCATGGTTGCTTTTTCTGAATCTTTCCAATTCTACAATATTCACCTAAAGTTCTCCCTTGGGGCAGAATGCTATTGGGAAGTTTATCTTCCATTTCTTTCCGAATTATGCCTACCACAGAGCTTTCCCTTTCCACAGCAGCCACACACCGGTTTGACATTTTCATCAAGCTGTCCATCACAGCTTCAAAATCTCTGTTGTTCAGTCACCACTATGTAGATCCCATCCCCTTACCATCAACTTATGCTTCCAGCTGGGATATGTTGCCCCAGTATACATTACTGTACACTGGCTTATACTGAACTTCATTTTCCAGTTTGATCCCCATTTGCACAACTCGGAGAGATCCTTTTGCAGTGCCTCACAATCTCTTCTGCTTTTAATTAGACATCACTCTAATTAGATGTCACCAGCAGACCTGTCACTGCTCACTCCTAATCCAGATCCTTTAGTAAAAAGGTGAACAACATAGCTCCTAATTTGGAAGTAAGTATTCCTAATTTAAGTTCTCTAGGATGAATACCTTCAGTCCCAATGATTTATTAACTTTCTATTTTATCATTAAGGTGGAGAGCTTCCTGAAAACATCACACACAGCCCTCTCTCCTCTACCTTCTGTGGTGAAGATAGATGACGAGAGTTCATTCGGCTTCTCTGCAATGTGCTTATCCTCTTTAGTACTCCTTTAACTCCATTATCACACAGTGGTCCAAGTGCCTCTCTAGTTGGTTTCCTGCTTCTCTTATATTTATTTGTGGCCTTGATATTGTTAGCTATATGCATCACAGAAAGCTTTTTGCATCACTTAGTATCTGTTCGCATCTTCCTTGTTCAAGCTTGCATTGCCCTTTGTTTTTCTCATTTGGGCAAGACTTCCATTTTATTTATTTATTTATTATTTATTTATTAAAACATTTCTATGCTGCCCCTTGCCGAAGCCTCGGGGCGGCTCACAGCACAAAATAAAATACAATAAAATACAAAAATAACAATATAAAATTAACAATATAAAATAAACAAACAATATAAATATAACAATATAAATATAAATATTTTCTGAAAGAAGCCTTGTTTTCTCTAATAGCACCCTTGACACAGGCTGGCGACCTTTTGGACTAGGTGCTACCTTTCTTAATTTGTAGCATACATAGTATCTAAGATTCTACTATAGTAGTTTTAAATTACCCCCAAGCATTTTGAAGGAAATCCTGGGATCCTGCTATGAGAGCTGAGTTTCACTATCCACTGCTCACACACATGAGCACCTGGGGGATTTACTTATTCTCACCACTATTTTCAGCCCAATTCATACTTTATAGCTATTTTGGTAACAGATACATTAACAAATACCCTTTGAATCCCTATCATCATCAGCCTAGGTTTGCAGTTTTTCTAATGGCTGTAGCAGTGAATCTTTAAATTACAATTGCAAATGGAAATTTAACATATCTATAATTTCTTCATCAATAAGTAAGTGGAATGTTTGGATCATTTTGCAGTGAGGGGAGCTTGACAGTGAATGGTAAGTCCCAAAATAAGCGGACCTTGCCATACATCAGTGTTACTCAGCCAGCTGCTTTCCAGATGTGTTGGATGGTAACTCCCAAAATTCCAAGCCTACATGGCCTGCAGGGGAGGCTGGAGGCTCCAATGTCGAGTAACGTTGCGTATCTACTCTAGCTCCCAGTCTAAACTGTTGAGGAATATCCACGGTGCTGACCCCCTTCCTAAAATAGGTTTAGTGCCATGAATAACTACTTTAAATTAAAGACTGAAACTTTGAGTGGATGCATTGCCCAATGGTTTTGGAGCCAGTGGTCTCTGCTGGTGGTCAATGCATGGTTACGTCATGCTAGTTGTCCCCCCTTCACACATTCAAAGCCACAGCCCTTTCTTGAAAAAATATATTTATTGACCAAAGCACAATCACCAGGATGAACCTCTGAGCATGTACAAAGGGATTCATCAAACAATCTAGTATTTACTTCTTGGAACTCCCCTTATGAGATAGTTTGGGCTTCATCCTTTTGGGAGGGACCATTTGGAAACAAGCATACCTCCTCTTGGCGCGGCAAACCTCTAACTGGGTAGCCCTCCTCTGCTGATACTAAGAGGTCAAGAGCTGTATCTGCTTGACCTCCCCCGCCCCTTGCAAGCCCCCTCTTGGTTATTCTCAGAGGCCGCCAGAGCACCTGAAGAGTTTGGCTCCGAGATAAGTGCCTCTGCTTCTCTCATCAACATCTGGAATTGGCCGACATTCCAAGGCCTCCCCTGCTGCTCCTCCTCCTCCTCCTCCAGATCAGCATGCCCTGGGGAGGCATGTCAAGAGCAACTGCCCTTCTCACTCCAAACAGGTTGGCACAGAGCTCAAACCGGGAGTGTGTGCAGCGGGTTGCCGGGTTGCGATATTATCTCTGCATCTCGGAGCTCAAAAAGCCTATTCACCAACTTCTCTCTGTATGCATGTCACACACCCCATTGGTGTAAGGAGGATACTTCCAGTTGGTCAAGCGAGGAGTAGGAGGTGCTTTGGGGCTGCCACTCTGCCATTCAAGCTACCATCAGGGAATCTGCCCCCAGGTTTGCACAAAAGCTGTTAAGGGGAAGGGGATTTGCATAAAATCCGTGTATGATCGTTGGTATGCGTAGTTACACATTTAGAAGCATTTACTGTATTCTGAGCAGAAATGCAGTACATTTTAATGCTATGCAGAGGCGTGTGACCACATGGACTGCATGCCTAGCTCATTCTGCTGCCCAGGTGCTGTGCTGGGCAGCGCCAAGGGCCAGTGCTCCCTTCTTGTGGTTGCTTAAGTGGGATGGCAACTGGACTGCTGTGCAAACAGCATAACTCCACATGAGAGGCAGTCCTCTGATAACCCTTCAAGTAGAGGACTGAGCACCTGAAGAGGGCACCTGACCACCTTGTGCCTGAAGCAGACCCCCATATCTTCCATCCATCTGTTCATCCACACGCTTTCCCCTGGTGCTGTTGGGTCTGATGTTATAGGTTACTTTTTGAACTCAGGAATTAGTTTCTGCCTGCAAATCATAAACCACTTCTTTTTTGAAAGGCATTCATGTGCACAAGGTGCCTCAATACAGGAAGAAGGTCTTACATTTAGTCCCCAGAAAAAGACTAGCATATCCTTTCAAGATATTTGTGTATTATAGCACATAAACATTAAAAGAGTGAAAGAGAGAAATGCTGCCATATGTTCTCCCCTGAAATTAATTAGCATTTTACAATAGCCGTCTCTGCAGGAGTGGGGGAACATTATGCTTCAATAACAA